TCAGTCACTAAATTAGCTGCATCACAAATATCACCTCAATTGGCAAAGCTGCTATTAGCTCTGTTTAAAGGGATCAAGGCTCCAAGAAATTAAGTGACTTGCTGAAAACCAAATAACTGAATGAGGATCTGAATTCAGGATTATCTAGCTCCCAAATTCAAGAACTACTGCAATTGCTTAAGAACAGGGCCATTTTTTATTTATCCCTATATTCTTACTAAGCAAATGGTGTATAACAAGTGATCAATAAATGCAGATGAATGGAGTACATGAAATTATAATCATATTTAAAGTCCAACTTGTGATTTTTGACTTTATGATGGTGCAAAAATGATATGCCTTCAGTAGAAACTCCATTTTGAATTGTGATCTTTTCCTGGACTAGTAATATATTGTATGATACTGTTGAGATGCTGGGCAGCTCCCAGTCAGCCATATGATCATGAGGGCAAAAAGTTGATCCCATACAGTAGACTGGGTTACTAAGTTAAGATGCTCAGTAGGTTAGATATAGTAAATGCATTTTCAATTTATGATGCGTTTATCAGGGCACAACCCCATACTAAGTCCAGGAGCATCTATTCATAAAAGTCAGAATTCATGGGGCCCACAAAACCACCATACTACAAGAGTTTATATTTCAGGGCCGGTGATGTGGTGCAGAGGGTTAAAGTCCTTGGGCCCCTGCATCCACATGGGAGACCCAGAAGAAGCTCCTGGCTCCTGGCTTTGGATCAGATCTTCTCTGGCTGTTGCAGCTATTTGGAAAGTGAACCAGTGGATGGAAGACACCTCTCTCTCTCTCTCTCTCTCTCTCTCTCTCTCTGTCTTTCAAACAAATAAAATAAATCTTAAAAAAAAAAAAAAAGTTTGTATTTCAAAGATCCAGAGGACTGTTCTGGAATCTGAAGAGCTGACTGTATTCATCTATGGAATTTTAGCAGACCCAACAGATATCATGTACTCATCCCTAACCTTCAATGCTACTAGCTAACTGGATTATTCAAACCTCATTTAAGGGATCATAGAAAATCTAAACTTGTCTAACCAGTTAAAGCCAAAGTAATTCTGCAATAAAGCCCTAAAAACAGACAGAAGGAGGCCTCTTTAACTCCAGAATAGCAAACTTCTTCCCCACCAATGAAAGACATTAGAGTACTCTTTCTTGAAGAGCCTGAAAAGCTTTGTAGTCCTTCCAACAGGCATTTACTATTACTAGATACAGGTTGGGATGAAAGATAAAAATCAGTTTTTCATCCTTTGTTTAAATCACCATGAAGTTCAAGGATGCCCTGGAATCATGATTCTTACGTTGACACTGACTATAATTTTGTATGCATTATTTTTCTTAACTGCTCAGCTAACAAATCAAACCAATTTAATTGTACTAGAAAGTATTTTTATTTGTGTAAATTTTCTTTGTTTATCTAAGATATCTTCCAAGATGCTGTTCACTGAACAAATGAGGAATGTAATTCAGATACAATCAATAAACAAAGTTACCAAAATTTTGGATTCTCTTCCTACATCAGGAGAAACTATATTGTAACACAGAGAATACATTTGTACTTCCCTCAAGTTTCACATCAAAACACTGTATATAGTAGTTTTCCCTTTCTAGGAAATAAAAAGGTTTTTAATTGAAAATTAGAGTTAATTGAGAAAAAGGGAGAGACAGAGATCTTCCATTCACTACTTCACTCCCCAGATGGCTGAAGCCAGGAGCTTCATCTGGGTCTCCCATGTGGGTGGCAGGGGCCCAAACACTTGGGGCATATTCTGTTGCCTTTCCCAGACCATTAGCTGAGACCTGAATCAGAAGTGGAGCACCAGGACATGAACTGGAGCTCATATGGGATACTGGCATCATAGGCGATGGCTTTACTGGCTACACAACACTGGCCCCAGTAGTTATCCCTTAACTATGGGGGATGTATTCGAAGACCAGTGGCTGCCTGAAACTGCAGATAATACTGAGCCCTATGTATATTACACTTTTTCCTATGCATAAAGTTTGATAAACTTTAATTTATAAATTAGGCATAGAAAGAAATTAATAAAATAATAGAACAATTAACAATATACAGGGGCCGGAGCAGTGGCACAGTAGGTTAATCCTCCGCCTGCGGCACCGGCATCCTGTATGGGCATCGGTTCTAGTCCCGGCTACTCCTCTTCAATCCAGCTCTCTGTTGTGGCTCAAGCCCTTGGGCCTCTGCACCTGTGTAGGAGACCCAGAAGAAGCTCCTGGCTTGAGATCGCACAGCTCTGGCCATTGCGGCCATTTGTGGAGTAACCAATGGACAGAAGACCTCTCTCTCTGTCTCTCCCTCTCACTGTCTGTAACAACTTTACCTCTCAAATAAATAAATAAATAAAATATTTAAAAAAAAAACAATACACAAATGTAATAAAACTGCCAACATCACTACTTCTGTGCTTGGGGTCATTAAGTAAAATAAGAGTTACTCGAACACAAGCACTCAATACTGCATCAGGTGATCTGATAACCAAGGAAAGAGTACCTAAAACACGGATACACTGGACAGTAGTATTCATTGAATACCCAGCCAAGAGGGCCCACAATATCAGTACTTGCCAGTGGTTTGTAAAATAATACAGCTGGGAAAAAATGGAGCTAAGTATTAATGCCAGCAAATGTTAGAAATCGGGTGGTTTGAGTAGGTAAACTTTCTAACATCTCTGTCACGAGCTTCAGACCCGTCTTCTGTAAAATGAGGTCTGATAACTCCCACAGCAATGCGCATAACAAACGTCTCCCAATCCTAAGTCACTTCTTTATGCAGTCAGGTGAAGCAGCTATGCTCTGGCCTGCTCCATAGCTCACCCAGGGCCAGGGCTGGAGGGGCTGTATCCACACAGGGCACGTTATTTTCTCCTGGTAGGTCAAGAGAGCACAAAGGGCAAGTCAAACCACAATTACCTACCCACTTGAAGCTTCTGAGCAGGTACGCTAACATTCCACTAGCCAAAGCAAGTCCATGGTCATGCCCAACAATAACAGGGCACAGAAGTATACTTCTCATTAGTGGAGGAGAGTAGGGACTAAATATATCTAGAGAATAATTCCAACTATGAAGTGGAGGTTAAACAATAGAAACAAAAAAATCCCATATATTTTCCCCCTGGGTTGTTTTTAGGGTTAAATTCTGTATGCACAGCATCTAACAGGAGGGGGGCTTCAAAATGTTCATGGAAAATGAATATTATGAAAAACTATACATGGATTTCAAAATTTTTTCCCAACAAAAGAAACACCTTTTAATTCTATAATTCTATAATTCAATAAACTTTCTGAAGTACCCTCCAGCAATTCTTAATAATCTTAATTATTATAATAAAAGCCCCAAGTGGAATATTTGCCAACTAGTCACAATACAACATCTTCTCAACTTTGGAATTCTTTATCTGGACTACAAAAGTATATTCTGTGTGCTCTTTAGAAGCTACAACTATTAGTTCCTAAACCATTGTCTCTACTTCTTTATATGTGCAGACACAGATCATGGTACACTTCTCTGGTAGGTCAGGTACTAAATTCAAATATACACTATAGTAAAATACTAATTTTGACATTTTGTCAAAGTAATTTATCATAGAGCTTACTTAAACAAGAGATAACCTGTTTATAGTAACAACACAGCTACATCAGAAAATCTCAGTTGGTTAAACATCACTGAAATTTGACACTTTTGACTTTAGTTGTGTTTTTTTTTTTTAACTTTTATTAATGAATATAAATTTCCAAAGTACAGCTTATGGATTACAATGGCTTCCCCCCCATATCGTCTCTCCCACCCGCAACCCTCCCCTTTCCCACTCCCTCTCCCCTTCCATTCACATGAGGATTCATTTTCGATTCTCTTTATATACAGAAGATCAGTTTAGCATACATTAAGTAAAGATTTCAACAGTTTGCTCCCACACAAACATAAAGTGAAAAATAATAGATGATTTTTTAAATGATGATGAAATCAGATCAGACCTATTGTCATGTTTAATCCCAGTGAGAGTCAAGTTGGGAATTGATAATTTCTTCTTTTTTTTTTTTTTTTTTACAGAAGATCAGTTTAGTATACATTAAGTAAAGATTTCAACAGTTTGCACCCCCATAGAAACACAAAGCGAAATATACTGTTTGAGTACTCATTATAGCATTAAGTCTCAATGTACAGCACATTAAGGACAGAGATCCTACATGAGGAGTAACTGCACAGTGACTCCTGTTGTTGACTTTACAAATTGACACTCCTGTTTATGGCATCAGTAATCTCCCTATGCTCCAGTCATGAGTTTCCAAGGCTATGGAAGCCTTTTGAGTTCACCAACTCTTATCTTGTTTAGACAAGGTCATATTCAAAGTGGAGGTTCTCTCCTCCCTTCAGAGAAAGGTACCTCCTTCTTTGAAGACCTGTTCTTTCCACTGGGATCTCACTCACAGTGATCTTTCATTTAGGTTTTTTTTTTTTTTTTTCTTTGCCAGAGTGTCTTGGCTTTCCATGCCTGAAATATTCTCATGGGCTTTTCAGCCAGATCCGAATGCCTTTAGGGCTGATTCTGAGGCCAGAGTGCTGTTTAGGACATCCACCATTCTATGAGTCTGCTGAGTATCTCGCTTCCCATGTTGGATCACTCTCCCCTTTATTTATTCTATCAGTTAGTATTAGCAGGTACTAGACTTGTTTATGTGCTTCCTTTGACTCTTAGTCCTTTCATTATGATCAATTGTGAACTGAAATTGATCACTTGGACTGGTGAGATGGCATTGGTACATGCCACCTTGATGGGATTAAATTTAGTTGTGTTTTTTACAAAAACATGTAACTGCTATTCTAAATTGCTTTAATAATCTACATAGAACATTAAGAAATATTTCTAAAGAGTTTAAAACCCATGATTAATTTTAGGTATTGCAAAGAAGTGAGTTAAAAAAGTATACATCTAAAATGAAGTCTAATGGTAAGATGGATTGAAATTACCTTTGCTGATAAATAGTGCTTGTAGTAGTACAGCTGAAAAAGCAGAAACGCAGAACTTGCCAATGTTAAAAGGGCCAAAATCACGTTCTTATTGATTCTATTCATTAGTGTGCATTGCTCACTTCGTTGTCTTTTGAAAATATCCAGTCATTTTCATCTTTGTGGATAGGAAGATAATCCTGTTTCTGTGAACAAAGTTATTTCTCAAGAGACAAAAACCCATTTTAAGTGTGTCACCTTTAGGAATCAGCAACAGAACAAAGCAAAAGCTACCTAAAGTGCCACAGACCATTCTTTGATCTCATAAATTCCTAACAGAAGAAAATAACCAGATAGGAGACCAAAGATGAAAGAATAAAAATGATTATCATGACAGTCTTTTTTTTGACAGGCAGAGTTAGACAGTGAGAGAGAGAGAGAGAGGGAGACAGAGAGAAAGATCTTCCTTCTGTTGGTTCACCCCAAATGGCTGCTACGGCTGGCGCACTGTGCTGATCCGAAGTCAGGAGCCCGGTGTTTCTCCTGGTCTCCCATGCGGGTGCAGGGCCCAAGGACCTGGGCCATCCTCCACTGCACTACCAGGCCACAGCAGAGAGCTGGACTGGAAGAGGAGCAACTGGGACAGAATCCGGCGCCCCAACCAGGACTAGAACCTGGGGTACCAGCACCACAGGCAGAGGATTAGCCTAGTGAGATGCGGCGTCAGCCTAACATGACAGTCTTTACAATTACAAATAACAGAAAACATGAATCAGATATTTATAAATTTGAACAAGTCGAGCCTGGGGAGGGACTTCTCTAGTTTCTGATTCAATAAATCTAGTAGGGACTGCTGAATCCGTACTTCTGACAAGTTTCCAGGTGATGCTGCTGCTGCCCATCACACTGAGAGCAACTTCCAGAAACCGAGAAACATGGGTGGGAAATTTGGTCTGAAGCAGGTATCTGTGCAGAGGCCACGATGCCCCCTGGGAGCTGTATCCTGTATCAGAATGCCAGGTTCAAGTCTGGTCTCCATTTCCCACTCCAAATTCCTGCTAATGCATACCCTGGGAAGCAGCAATGATGGTTCTAGCAGCTGGGTCCCTGCCACTTACATGGGCAATTTGGATTGAGTTCTGGGGTCCTGGTTTCAGCTTGGACCTGCCCTGGCTATTATGGGCATTTGGGGGGTGAATCAGTAGATGGAAGAGTCTCTCTGCTTTTCAGTAAGTAAGAAATGAATAAATAAATAAAATTTTCAAATAAAAATTAACCATAGTTTAAATGATTTTGAGATTTTGTGTATGTGTAATCTAGGATGTGGTCAATTTTTATAAATATTCCATGTATAATTTCAGTTTTTTGGCATGATAAACACTTTTTGTTCTTTCATCTGAGTTCCAATCTCTATAATTACTTCTTTAACATAAGTTTAATATAGTTCTAGTCCTTATATCCTCTCCACTGCATGATTTCTGTTAATTATACTTAGCTCTTCAAGTATTTTTTAATGATTTCAAATATAACAACTTTTCTATTACTTGATATCTAAGTTTAATGTCTTTTATTTTCCAGCCATAAACTAATTAGAACATTTAAACCTCCTCTGCCTATCTCTTCTTTCCGTATTAACTTTTTTCTTAGATTTATTTATTTGAAAGAGTTACAGAGAGAGAGGGAGAGAGAATATGAGAGAGAGAGAGAGAGAGAGAGAGAGAGAGAGAGAGAGAGGACTTCCATCCACTGGCTCACTCCCCAGTTAGTCACAACAGCCGGAGCTGAGCTGCTCTGAAGCCATGAGCCAGAAGCTTCTTCTGGGTCTCCCACGTGGGTGCAAGGGCCCAAGTTGGGCCATCTTCTACTGTTTTCCCAGGGCACAGAAGAGAGCTGGATTATAAGTGGAGCAGCTGGCACTTGAACCGGCGCCCATATGGATTGCTGGCACTGCAGGCAGCGGCTTTACCTCCTACGCCATAGCAGCAGCCCCACAGTATTAACTTTTATTAGTTATTTCTACTTTGTTATGGTTCTATTCTATTCTGTGACTACGAGTCTCAGTTATTTTGATCTTACTCCTGTAAGGTTCTTTGCCAGTTCTTTTGCTATATCATCGCTGTTCATCTACTGGATAACTGGTACTCCATCATCTTGCCTTTTATCAGAAAGAACTTATAAGGTACCACCTACCTTGAGTTCTGGCACTGTTCAAAAATAGTTGCAAGTTGACAGTTTAAGGTCATACTTTGTTTCCCATGGACTTACAGGCTTTATACCATTGTCCTGTAATGACAAATATTATGCCTGAAAATACGATTCCCCAACTCTAACATCCTGTACGTAATTTGATTTTTTTAATGGAATAAGCAAAGGATACACTTTCCTTACCTTAAAAATTCAATTTTTGTTAAACCAGGTTATGTAATGATGGTGGGGACTATCCCCTTGTATCAGTTTCTCCTCGATCTTTGTGTGTCCTTTTCATCTGTAGAATAAAGATTTTTCTTTGTGGAAAGTTTTCTGTTTTGAAAGTTTTTTTAAGTTATTTATTTGAATATCTTTCTCTTAGAACATTAAATTCTTTGTTTCCAGAAATGTAATTGTTTATCACCTTTCATGCCCAATTCACTTTGCTCAACTTTCAAAAACCTGTCATCATGTCCTTTACTGAGTTTTCAACAAAGTTAACATTCCTTTTTGTTTCCAACATGGCCTTTGTTGCTCTGATTTTGCCTTTCCTTTCTCTCGTAAGCTCTGCCAGATTATGATTCAGCATTTACTGTTTTACTACTTCTGCCTTGCGCCAATCACTTTTTTAATTTTGAAGAAACAGCTGTTCATTATAACTGTTAGGCCAATAGTTTTCTCATAGGTTCTTTCTCACTTGGTTTTCTCTCTTGCATTTCTGCTTTTTTCTTGTAGATTTGTATGTAGATATTGAATTCATTTCCTTTTTATTACTATTTATCCTTCAATGATTTGAGCACTCTGGATCTGTTACTTGCAGGAAGACTGTGGAAGGAAGAAGCAAGGCTGTGCTATACACTGGAAGGTAGGCTGTGTGGCATACACACAGTGTTTTGCACAAACGTGTATGTGAGAAAGTCAGAGAATCAGAGTACAAGCAAGAGAAAGCTCATGTTGCCTAATAGTCCAAGAAAGTTCCCACTGCTTTCCTATGCATCCTGATCCCACTGTAAATCAATCCATCTCTCTTTGCTTTGCCAGCTCTACCCAAGATCTCTATCAAAATCTTCCTTTAACCTCTTCCTGCATACAGCTGACAATCATTTCTTAAGTGTTTCTTTTAGGAGTTAAAAGTCTTCCAATCTCAACCTCCACTTTGACTATGACCTCGTCTAAACAAGGTAAGAGTCGGAGAACTCAGGGGCTTCCATAGCCTTGGAAACTCATGACTGGAGCATGGGGAGATTACTGAGGCCATAAACAAGAGTGTCAATTTGTAAAGTCAACAACAGGAGTCACTGTGCACTCGCTCCTCATGTAGGATCTCTGTCCTTAGTGTGCTGTACATTGAGACTTAATGCTATAACGAGTACTCAAACAGTATATTTCACTCTGTGTTTCTATGGGGGTGCAAACTGTTGAAAGCTTTACTTAATGTATACTAAACTGATCCTCTGTAAAAAAAAAAAAAAAAAAGAAGAAGAAATTATCAATTCCCAACTTGACTCTCACTGGGATTAAACATGACAATAGGTCTGATCTGATTTCATCATCATTTAAAAAAATCATCTATTATTTTCCACTTTATGTTTCTGTGTGGGAGCAAACTGTTGAAATCTTTACTTAATGTATGCTAAACTGATCTTCTGTAGATAAAGAGAATCGAAAATGAATCTTGATGTGAATGGAAGGGGAGAGGGAGTGGGAGAGGGGAGGATTGCGGGTGGGAGGGACGTTATGGGGGGAAGCCATTGTAATCCATAAGCTGTACTTTGGAAATTTATATTCATTAAATAAAAGTTAAAAAAAAAAAAAGTCTTCCAATCTCAGCAAAGATGTAATTACATCTCTGTCTCTCATTTCCTTATTGTTTCAGGAGATAGAAAAGGGCAGAAATTCTTCACTCTGACACTTTAAAATCAAAACTCTCAAATGTTTTTTTAAAAAAGATTTATTTATTTATCAATTTTGATAGAGCTAGAGGGAGAGACAGAGAGAGAGGGAAAGACAGAGAGAGATCTTCCATACACTGTTTAACTTGCCAGATGGCTGCAATTGCCAGGGCTGGGCCAGAGCAAAGCCAAGAGCCAAGAGCTTCATCCATGTTTGGCAAGGGGCCAAACATTTGAGTCCTCCTCTGCTACTTTTCCCAGGGCATCAGCAGGGAGCTGGATCCGAAGTGGAAAAGCTAGGACATGAACTGGCACCCGTATGAGATGCTGCTATCACAGGAGGCAGCTTTAACCCCTATGCTACAACACTGGGCCCCCAAAAGTGTTGAAGTTTTAAAGCAAATAAAATGAGATTTCAAAGCTAAAGTCTACATAACACAAATACTATAATAAATTATAAAAAGTCAACAAACTACTTAAGAGAAATGATAATAATGATGTGAATAATCCACTTGATTTACAAAGCTTATTAAACAAAGATAACTGAATAAATCATAATTATTTTCTATCTCCTAAAACCATGAAAACAAGCAACATACATCACCATTGACGACGGCATTAGTTTGTGTTTTTAGCTAAAACAAAATCATTATTCTGATATATGCAGCTCACAAGATAAGGAGAATACTCTTTATTTTCTAACTGAGCTTATATTTGTATTAAATCATGCATTAATGTATTATATGCTGGTAGCTAGTGAAATCCAAAGTAGCACTCAGATAGACTGTGTCATTGCTCAGCCTCTTTTAAGCTTAAATTAATAAATGAGGAGGAACAAATAAAAACTAGCTGTTGCACTTCAGATAGGATTGATCCATATGGGTGTCGGGTTCTAGCCCCGGTTGCTCCTCTTCCAGTCCAGCTCTCTACTGTGGTGGTGGTGGGGGGGGGGCAGTGGAGGATGGCCCAGGTGCTTGGGTCCCTGCACCCGCATGGGAGACCAGGAGGAAGCACCTGGCTCCAGGGTTCGGATTGGCGCAGCGAGCCGGCCGAGCCGGCCGTATTGGCCATTTGGGGAGTGAACCAACAGAGGGAGGACCTTTCTCTTTGTCTCTCTCTCTCTCACTGTCTGTAACTCTACCTGTCAAATAAATTAAAAATAAATAAATAAAAACCTACATGAGCCACAGATAAAATCAAAATTAATATCTTGTTCTATTTTCAGAAACATCTTTAGGTTATAATTAATTCTTACATGAAATAAAAGTCCAAACTATATCAAAAACAACTACATTTTGATTATCAAGATGATATTGAGGCCGGCGCTGCGGCTCACTAGGCTAATCCTACGCCTTGCAGCGCCGGCACTCCGTGTTCTAGTCCCAGTCGGGGCACCAGATTCTGTCCTGGTTGCCCCTCCTCTAGGCCAGCTCTCTGCTGTGGCCCAGGAAGGCAGTGGAGAATGGTCCAAGTGCTTGGGCCCTGCACCTGCATGGGAGACCAGGATAAGTACCAGGCTCCTGCCATCGGATAAGCGTGGTGCGCCGGCCGTGGCGGCCATTGGAGGGTGAACCAACAGCAAAGGAAGACCTTTCTCTCTGTCTCTCTCACTGTCCACTCTGCCTCTCAAAAAATAAAAAAAATAAAAAAATAAAAAGATGATATTGAATTAACTTTACTTCATTATTAATTTTCTACAAATGTCAAGATAATTCAAGAGCAAAGGGGGGGCGGCGCCACAGCTCACTAGGCTAATCCTCCGCCTGTGGCGCCGGCACCCCAGGTCTAGTCCCAGTTGCTCCTCTTCCAGTCCAGCTCTCTGCTGTGGCCCTGGACGGCAGTGGAGGATGGCCCAAGTGCTTGGGCCCTGCACCCCATGGGAGACCAGGAGGAAGCACCTGGCTCCTGGCTTCGGATTGGTGCAGCACGCCGGCCGCGGTGGCCATTTGGGGGGTGAACCAACGGAAGGAAGACCTTTCTCTCTGTCTCTCTCTCTCTCTCTCTCACTGTCTAATTCTGCCTGTCCAGAAAAAAAAAAAAAAGAGCAAAGGGGAAATATCAGCCTGTTAAAATGCTCCTTTTTGTTAGCACTATCTCTCTATTAGTAATGCAGTAACCACTTAAAAATGAATAAAGTAGGTGGTAGGACTGTGGCGTACCTGGTAAAGCCATGCTTGCAGCACCAGAATCCCATATGGGTACGGAAAAATGAATAATGTAGGAGCCTGTACTGTGGCGTACATTGTAAAGCCACCACCTGTGGCACTGGCATCCCATATGAGCACTGGTTCCAGTCCCAGTTGCTCCACTTCCGATCCAGCTCCCTGCTAACAAGCCTGGGAAACCAGTGGAAGATGGCCCAAGTGTTTGGGCCACTGCAACCATGTAGGAGACACAGAGGAAGCTCCTGGCTCCTGGTCTTGGAGTGGCCCAGCTTTGGTCGTTGTGGCCATTTAGGGAATGAACCAGTAAATGGAAGATTTTTCTCTGCCTCTCCCTCTCTAACTCTGCATTTTTCAAATAAATAAATCCTTTTTTAAAAAAAATGAATACCATGAAACTATAAAAGAGATGCCAGGGGTTGAGCACTGTGGTACAACAGGTTAAACTGCTGCCCATATGAGCTCTGGTTCAAGTCCCCTAGTTGCTCTACTTCTGATCCAGCTCCCTGCCAACATGCCTGGGGAAGTAGTGAAAGATGGCCCAAGTGCTTAGGCCCTGCCCACCACATAGGAGATCCAGATGGAATACCTGACTTCTAGCTGCAGCCTGGTCTGGCTCTAGGTTTTGCAACCATTTGGGGAATTACCAGTGGGTGGAAAATACTGCTCCACACTCCCCCATCCAACACTCTGTTTTTCAAAGAAAGTAAGAAATATTCAAAAAAAAGAAAAGATCATTGTAGGGCAGGCATTTAGCCTAGCAGTTAAGATGCCTGTATCCCACATGAAAGTACCTGGGATTGATCCATGGCTGAAGTTACTGGGTCTCTGCTACTCACAGGGATTGAGTTCTTGGCTCCTGTCCAGCCTAGCCCTGGCTGTTGTGGACATTTAATGAATCAATCAGCATATGGAAATATGCCTGTTTGCTCACTCCCCCCCCCCAAATTAGAAAGAAAATCTGTGATAGACTTTATCAGAGTGAATACAGAGGCAGTAACAATGCAGTATAATTACTACGAAGGGATAAGTACAGTCTACCACGGAAAAAAAGAAAGGCAATGAATCCTAAAGCTTTTTTCTACTTTTTAATTTGAATTAAAGATTTTAGTAGGGGGCGGTGCTGTGGCGTAGCAGGTAAGGCTGCCGTCTGCAGCACTGGCATCCCATACAGGTGCCAGTTCAAGTTCTGGCTGTGTCACTTCTGATCCAGCTCCCTGCTAATGTGACTGGGAAAGCAGCAGCAGATGACCAAAGCGCTTGGACTCCTGCACCCACATGGCAGACCTGAAGAAGCTCCTGGATCCTGGTTTTGCATCAGCCCAGTTCTGGCCCTTGCGGCTTTGGGGAGTAGATGGAAGACCTCTCTCTCTGTCCCTCCCTCTTCTTGTAACTCTACCTCTCAAATAAATAAGTCTTTAAAAAAAAAGTTATTGGGCCGGCGCCGCAGCTCACTAGGCTAATCCTCCGCCTAGCGGCGCCGGCACACCGGGTTCTAGTCCCAGTCGGGGCACCGGATTCTGTCCCGGTTGCCCCTCTTCCAGGCCAGCTCTCTGCTGTGGCCAGGGAGTGCAGTGGAGGATGGCCCAGGTGCTTGGGCCCTGCACCCCATGGGAGACCAGGAGAAGCACCTGGCTCCCGGCTTCGGATCAGCCCGGTGCGCCGGTCGCGGCGGCCATTGGAGGGTGAACCAACGGCAAAGGAAGACCTTTCTCTCTGTCTCTCTCTCTCACTGTCCACTCTGTCTGTCAAAAAAAAAAAAAAAAGTTATTAGTGTACATCAATCATCTGCCCCACCAGCCTAAAACTGGCTGAATTCACATTAAATATTATTCAACAGGCTAAGTATACTAAAATACTACCGATCCTTAGTCTTTGGGCTTGGGGCACCTAGGGCCCAAGACCGGCCTCCTCCAGCCAAGAGTGGTCACATTCTTTTATACTTCTTTACATCTTTTATTATTGATCTTACTACACCAAGACATGAAAACAGTTGGAAACAGTGACTGAAGTCCCTGAGGTCCTCCTCCAGCCACCACCCTAAAACGCACGCAGAGCTGCCAAAACCCAGCAGTTCCTTTCTCGCTTCCGTAGTTCCCACACTCTCTCCCCCACGGACCCACTAGCAGATTCCGACACGGCTCTCACGAGCCCGCTCCAATGTCGCTACCCCAACCCCGTTCCTACAGGCGTCTCCACTGCCCTCCAAAACGGAACCTGTCCCAGGATGAGGATTATTACCTGGTGACACCCCCGGGGGCGTGGGGAAGATTGGCCCACTGATATCTACCACGCGATGCTCGGGGACAGACTCAATCAGGAGTACCCAGCCCAGGGCGTTCAGCCTGTTGCCGGCCTCGGCCGCCTTCTCGCCTCGGCGAAGGCGCGTGGCCAGAATTCCCGGAGCCGCCTGGCACCTGAGCCACCAGCGATCTCTGTCTGAAGGTACTCGGCCATGCCCAGGGACCGAGCGGAGCCTCCCACGCCTTACCTTACTCAACAGCAGCGGCCGCAATTCCGCTTTACGGCACTCACAGCAACCGCCGCAAACGGGGCCGCCAAGCGCGGAGGCGCGTTACGGGCCGACGGGTGTCGCGAACGTGTTCACACGGCCGAGATTGCGTCGGCTTGCCAGCTCTCCCGGCGCTTCCTCCCTGCGGGGTCTGGGCGCTGGCGCTTTCCTCGTGTTTGGAATTTAGCCACTTAGCCGCAGCCCCTAGTCTCTCTGCGTGTAACAACGACCACCGCGCACCGAGGCAGCGTGAGACTGTAGGAAAACCCGAGTGATCGTGAGCTTAAGGGGCACCGACCGAGTTGTGTCCTCAAATATGGGAGTTCACGAGATAAAACACAGGATGCCAATTACATGTGCACTTCAGATAAATACCGAGTAATTTTCAGTGCACGTGGTAGGCACGGATGGGTTCAGAATAATTTCTGGTGCGGGTACCATTCGTTGAGCTGCAGGAGAGAGTGGGCAGCAGCCCCTTGGTTGGGGGGGGGGGGGCTGTGTGCGTTCTGGCGGGCTGTTCTCTGCCAGCTTAGGGTCGGAACACCCGTGGAATTCTTTTAACCGTGCAAACCAAGGAATTAGATAGGAATTAAATTTAATAGGGATTTTTTTTTTTTAACTATAGAGCACTAAATAAATAGCTCTAAATTCTTTCTACAAAAAGTACTATCGGTCCACAGTAGAAAGTGAAGATACTCCCCCAAGGACTTTTGTTTTCTAAGCCTCGTTTTAGAAAAAAAGGCTTTTATCAATACACAAAGTAGAGGAGGAAGATTCTCCCTTACATCCTAAAACCTATCACTCTAGACATCTTTTGCTTTATCCCTCCCAGAAATTCTCTGTGTACATACAAGTTAATTTCATTACAGCTTTAGTGTCAACCGTCATTACATGCTAGTAATGTACTAGGGTTAATAATGCTAAGGGTATTCATGGAGTTTTTAAAAAATTATGCATATTGCAGAACATATAAATTTTAAAAACAGTTGAAACAAAACGGCAAGATGTTAACTGTTAAATCTAGGTAATGAGTATGAGGTGTTGGTTCTTAGAATAACATTCCAAGTACTTAAAAATGTTCTGCATAAATGTAAAAGACGACCTTTAAAGCTGGTAACAATGGCCAGTCTTCCAACTTGAGTTAAACACTTTTAAAATATGGATCAATCAATTTCTAGTTTCTTTTTTTGTAAAGTGGACCAGGAACTTAACAATAAGTGGGGAAATCTAATTCAGTCTTGGAATTTTGAATGTGTGTGGTGGAAATGGCAATTTTCTTCTGTCATTTGCAAGTATGTTGAACACAAATATCTGGTCAGATTAGCTCCTCATCTTCCTGATAAGTAATTTTTCATACTCATTTCACTGGTTTATATAATAAATTATACATAATAAATTTTGTAACAATGACTGCCACTGACATGCACAAGTTTAAACAACCAACTTGAAGTAAGCATACTACTCAAATGCAGTGGTACTGCTCATTCATACCAGAGGGTTCGCTGTGAGCCTTCAGGGCACTGTCAACATGACTATGCTTTAATCTGTTGAAACTCCTGCAGTTGGAGTACAAAACCACTCAGGTGTCGGGATGCTTGGTACAGCAGTTAATATGCTGCTTGGGACACCTGCATCCTCTTTGTTGTTGTTTTTGAGTATCTTGATTCAAGTCCTAGCTATGTTCCCAATTCCAGCTTCCTGCTAATGCACATCTCTGGGAGCAGCAGGTGATGGCTCAAAGTACTTGAAGTCCTACCACCCTTGTAGGAGTCCCAGACTGAGTCCTGGACTCCTGACTTCGGCTTAATCCACTCCTGGCTGCTGCATCCATTTGGGGAGTGAATCAGTGAATGTCTTCATCTCTTGACCTTTCAAATAAATTTATTTTGAAACAGTTTTCTAAAGTCACTAAGTTGTGCACATAGGCATAAATTCTGGCCCACTCCTAATATTTGTGGGGTCTGGGGCAAGAATACAAATGGAAGGCAACCTTGACATGTCTTCAGTGTCTAAAAACTGCTAAGAGCTAACCATCAAATAAGATGTTGTATCTTCTACCTCAACAAATATCTCAAGCAACAGAAATCTAGTTAAGTATGTAATCCTCCTACGAACCAGGTTGCCTTGTCCTTCCTCCAGCCCCTGGACTCTTTTTACTTCTAGCTTCATCATTCACCCATAGGAGAAAACCCAGTCTGCACATGCAAGCTTCACCCACACTCCCCACAAGCTGCCATCCATATAGGTATATACACCTTTAGTACAGTGTTCTTTCAAGGTGGACTTGTCGAAGAGGCCTGCATGTGTCCTGGAGGCAAGCTTCAGGGGATGGCAGGGAATTCCGGGGTCCTAGTTATCTAAACATAGTCTACAAGTGAGTTGAGGAATGTGGCCTCCAAGCAGGCATTATCTCTTGGCTCCTTCAATTTCTCATTCCTGAATTGGCACAGCAAGAGTCGGGGGTCTAGGTCTAAGTGTATGTAGACACCCTATGGTATTAATACTCTATATATTGTTGGGTGACATTTCCTGCTTCATAATATCATGAATACCCTTCCATTAATACCATATCCTTAATAGCTGTGTAAAGATATATGGAAATACCACAATCTGATTATCTCCCATTGAAGTGACTGCAAAGGAGGCATAAACACTATTAGCACCTTGCATATAAATGTAAAATGACATTTAAAAAGGAAAATCTTGGACAGGAAAGCAGAGTGCTCATGATTTCATCCAGGCACAAAACTGGTATACCAAGCAAAAGGCTCTCATTGAGGAAGCTAACTCCCAAAATGGTTTAAACTTTTCTAACACTTATGGAATAGTACATGTGTACATAATGTATCCAGGCCAAAACACAGCAACAGTAGCTTACTGATACGGTAAGTTAGAAAAGGGGAGTATTGGGAATTCTGGTAGCTCATTCTTTTGTTAAAGAAACTTAGGTTTGTTGCAGCAGTTTTTGCCTGGTTACCAAAAAAAAAAAAAAAAAAAAAAAAAAGAAGAAAAGAAATTTGCCTCTAGGATCATCCAGATTTGTCTTTAATTAACAATTATGTTGTTTGAATTTTGCCATTGTAGAGCTACAATGATAATGGTTTATTTTTTAGTATATATGTAACAGTAATACTTAGAATATTAACTATTCAAGGGTATGTGCATTTAAAATCTTGACACTGCTAAATTTCTCAAGAAATGTTGCACCCAAGTAAAGATAATGTTTACTCAGTATCTTTGTCAGTACTCCTTTCCCTGTGACTCAAGACTAACCAGTACCCCTTCATTCTTTTCCTGGTAAAAGTGATCTTATTTACAGGAATCAGTCTCACAAAGTCACAGATTAATTTTCTGTTTTCTCCCCAACTGGTTTTAATTTAGAACATACATTGTAAAAAGGTTTAGTTTCTGGTTCTCTCAGTTACCATCTATCAAAGTACAACCCAAGATGTGATAAGCTCCGAAGACAGAAACCAAATTCCTAATTTACATTATAGTTTCTTACAGCAACTGTTTTCCCCATCTCCACACAGATTAGTAGCTACTGGCAACAAACAGATCTTTTTGTTTAAGTTAAAATTCAAAATTGACCTGCACTAACCACCGGCTACTGTTAACTGGATAGCACAAATACAGAACTTCCCATCATTACATAAAATTCCACTGCACTGCTCTAAAGCATAAGCTTTTGAAGCAAAGAGACCATGCTTTCCTTTTTTGTTTTAAATTTTCATCTCCAGCAGAACATTACAGATGTTTAAATAAAAGTTGATAAAAGTAAGCATTGAAGCAAAATAAACCAGAAAAAAATTTTAATTTGCAGATGACATATTCCAGGTATTTTTGTAAAAACTTAACTGGGACATTCTACATAGAACATACAATCATTTCAACATACAAGTTATTCATTCTGAATACCCTATCTTAAAGTTACAAAACTATTTAGAGGGTTTATCTTGTTTCCAAGGAAAATGAGGCAATGTGCTTATAAAAACACTATTTTGCAGCACTGAGTACATCATAAGTTGTTCATTAATGGTTTTCATCTATAACTTAAAAGTTAAACCTGAGGACTTTGACTTAGAATTTTTATTATCACAACTGCATAGCAAAATCATGTCTAGTTAATAGACATACCAAATCTGTAGATTAACATGTAAACCATTTTAAGACAGATATATTAGGAGAGATAATAAATGATATTCAGGTTAACTAGCAAAGTTTTCAAATGCTTCATTTTATTTTTTTAAAAATGACAATGCAACAAAGTTGTCAAAAGTGCACTGGGTACCTTGTTTTGTTCATCCAGTGACAATAAACCATTGAATCCCTTGGTTGTCTGGAGTCATTTAGGCCAATTAATTCTTAGCATGTGGCACGGAGCACCCCTAAACTGTAAGTGCAAATTCCTGGGCAGAAATGTAGCTTAAGTCATCTATCTATTTATGCTACTATTCTACACTGACACACTAATGTGGTGAGAGAACTTTTAAAGCTCTAGAAAGTCTTGAAATAGTGACATGCTTTATGAGAAAATATAAAAATACAGACTAAGTGTATATATTAAAGGGCATTTTAAAATTGGAGGTTTTATTTTTCAAAATCACATTTGAAATCACTGATGATAGCACTTAAAGAACATGCTCTATCAAAGTAAATGACATCTAGAAGTACCCAAACACTTAAATCCATTATTAACTCAATGTGACACCTCACATTTACACAGTACTTTACTGTCGTTAAAGCAATTTTATGTACTCCATTCCACTGTATTCCTCACAACAGCCCTGTGAGGTAGGCTGAGTAAGTTACAATTTTTTGAGAATTAAGGCAGCAGAGGCCCAAAGATGATTAATGATTTATGTAGAGGTTGTAGATATATCATATGGTAGAGATAAGGTGACTAACTTTAACAACTTCAAAGGATATGAAACCCACATTTTTTTATATCATATCCAGAGATTTTTGACTAGTAACTTTTATAAATTACTCCAAAACCTTAGTTATTATATATCTTATAGTATTGATTAGTTATGAGGTTGATTTTAAAGAGTCTCCCTTGAAAGCTAAATTAGATTCAGTGCTTTGGTACCTCAGAGATATTTGAAATGTTAAAACAAATTACACATTTTCCTTATGCTTTCCAAAAAACGTTCTAGTACTGATTAAAATGCTTTTACTAATCACTTACAATCTGACTTGTTTTAAATTAGTCTAAACTTAATCAGCTCCAGGCCAAAGCAAATACATTCACCTGCCTTCTTCCCTACATACTGTGAGACCCTCTAGGTGTCCGTGCCCAAGGACCAACTCATACTGAATATGTAACATTAGAAAAAAATCAGTTTAAACTAATATAGCTTCAATAATTATGAATCAACGTCTGTATTTTATATTGACCCCAAAAAAATGAATACTCTATTTTTGAAAAATTGGGTAGGCTGAAGAGAAAAGTACTATGGCAATTTTTGGTATTTATTTACAATCTGAAACAAATATTAAATGCCATGTTCAACACTATCTTTTCAATGAAAACAAGATACAGCAAATGCAATCCATTTAAACTCCAGCTAATTCAAAATGATTAAAGTATTTAGGTTATCCAAATATTCAAGTAACAAAGCTACCATACATAACATATCAGGATCACAAATAATTTAAAAAATGTGAATACTGTACTTAACACAAAAGTAAAACTATACTGAACATGAGGTAATCTTGCTGTGATGATTAAGAAAACATTCATGATCTCACGTAATACTTCAGTGCCTGCATTCTGAACTGCACATTTTGGTTAAGAATAACTAATAACTTTAGGGTACCTGGATACTGAGTAAATGTATGCTGACCATACATTTCCCTAAAAGATAATATCCAGGGTAGAAAAAAAAATAAGAAACTTTTCCAGACTTACTTAATGTGGCGATACAAAAGTGAACCTTATTATGCAGTGATTTTGAAATTTGAAATTACTCTTCTAAACATCTGGGTAGCAAGACATTATTTTTGAGATGCAAAATGTACCCCCATTCAAAAGCAGCATCATAAATGATTTATGCATCATAAATCAAATTTCAATACTTTTGCAAAGGCAAATATAAAGTAGTCAAATGTTGACTGCCATATCACACTCATATACTTGTTGTACGAATTAGCCAATGAATGAACACCAATCTAGGAAATATAACTTTTTAAAGAGAATTGTGATAATCTGAAAATATAATTTCTTAGCCTGGAATTATATTTTATGGCAAGAAGTCTATACTGTCTCCTTTTAAAAGTAATACTTTTTGAAGTAATCATTTTCCAAATACATCCTTTCCTAATTTGTTCCCAATGTTTCCAAAAGAAACAATTAAAAATACAGAAATAAATATAATTTTATGGACAAACTATAGGGATAAAAGCCAATCATTCATATTAGCCTCATTAAAATATTTAATTAGATACTTGTTATTAATCATATGACCTAGGATAAGTCACAAATGGATTCAAATGACACATATTTTTCATACTTTAATTTCACAAATGAGTAAGCAAAAGAAAGCCAGTATGTCTCTTTATATACCATGGAGGAAAATTATTAATTATGGGACAGAGTAAAAGTTTGCCAAGTCTAGTTATACAGTAGTCATTTCAGTTTGTCAAAATGGTGCAGATGTTATCAATTAAAACCATGTACAGAAAAGCAGGTGCCTAATCCTTTTAATTTGTTTAGTTATACCTGGAACATTCAAATTGCTGTATGTTAAATTTCTATAATTACTAATTATATATTTACCAAAAATTAGAGACATATGTGACATGGTCTGCTGGAAGAGTCAAAATGAATTGTAAAAACATTATTTTCTAAAGTGCTTAAGGCAGTTCCTTCATTTCTATATCCAGTTCAATAAAACTGGTTTGAAATTCAACTGCTAAACAACAAATGCAATACTAGATCAATGTTTTTATAGAACAAGTTTTTACACCTATGATTACATCCACGACAGTCAACCTCTCATGCATTTCCTTTGCAGAAAGCATTCATATTTGACCTGTCAAAACATAAAGTAAATAAAGAAATAAAGAATGTCTGAACGGGTTTACCAACCTTTTACAATATACTAAAGTGAGCATGAATGCTCAATACTTAATTCAAATGTCAATGAGAATGTTCTACATTATGATCCAACAAGACAGTTCCCTTATTCTGAGACTAAATAGGCACTATATTTGATTATTTTTTAGTTTGAAAATGAGGGTGACAAACTTTCTCCAGTTTAACTTTACAATTTAAAACATAAGCCTAAAAAGAAATTCATGTATTTTGTTTTAATTTTAGAAACCTTTAAGAAATGTAGTAAGAGGAAACCCTCAAGTTCTTATTTCAAAATGATAATAGTACAATTTAATAACAAGTATTACATGTAATGAGAACTTGGATTCTTCATTTGCTAAATATGTATTTATCGTAAAATCTCTGAGAAATGAAACCTCCCCAGTGAAATTTAATACATTTTCCAAAAGAATATTATAAAAAATTATATGAAGAGTCTCAAATGATGGCATGAGCACAAGAAAGCATCAGATACACTCCTCCAGCCCCTGATTAATACGTTTCTTTTTCCCCATGCTCCTGCAACAGAAGGCCCTGACCACTACAACATAATGCTCTCCGCTTATCAGCTGACACTGCATGGAGCATGAAGCAAGAGCATGCTTAGAGGAAAAAGGCACTGAATTAATGAGAAGACACAATTATATAAGACATAATAGTAAAAAATTGTATACAAGAACATTTGGCTTTTTCTGGGTCATTTTTGCTAAAATATACTGTGTAGCTAATCACATAAAAGCAACTTGATTACTAAATTACTGCTTTCAGGTTTGAGTTTATAAAATGGACTTATAAATTCCTGTTTCCTTAGGTCCTGGAGTAGCCCTCTAAACAGGGAAAGAATATCCAAAAATATCTTTCAAAATATATGAGGAACAAAAATCAAAATTACATTTGTTTAGAGAATCAAAAGAATGCTTACAGATATACTCATTCTCTAAACTCTAAGTTCCAAGTCTCTAAAATTACCAGTATGTCATCAAGCAGTAGTGCAGATATGCAAGTCCTTAGCTTTTAAAAAACACTGCAGTTCAAATAAAACTCCTCATTCAGATTTGTTTTATCAATGAAACAAAATATCCTCTCAGTGAGCAGTAGAAACTACTACCATTACACAGGCCTTTGGGTAGAAAGCAACTCAAATGTAAGCAGCAATGGTCACCTCTTAGAAGAAGGTTGTCACAGCCCAAAATAAAGGAGAATGAAAGAAAGTCAAAAAATTAAAAGACATTAAGAGCTTCAAAAATTTAGGAAGTTACAAATTCAGACCTCTTATAAATTATCAAAGAATTCTTAAACACTTAACTACAACTTTTAGTTTGGCTCAAAGCACTTGAGTTACACATTTTAATCAACTTTTTAAGAACAGGTATGTTCTGTTCAGTAACCTCGGGTCTTACTATTGTTTAGTACATTTTCCTAAAGTTCAAGAAAGATGTCTATATTGGTTTTTGGAAGAACTACATCTCTTTAAAAAGCAAACAAATGTAATAAAATGACTGAGACAAAAATAACCTCTGAGTTGTTTGAAAACCCATGTGCCAATAAAGTCAGAGAGAGGTAACTGTTTTCAAAGCAACTGTTTAAACCATTACATTTCTTATTAAAAAGTCATAAATTTCCTCATTAGGAATACTTTTAGGCATCTTCCTTATAATCCCTTCTTAGATAAAAGTTGAGTAGTATAGGTTTCTCTTCCCATCATGTAACTTTATTAATAAACTTTCATTCCTACTAGAAATGTTAAAAATCAGCATAATTGTCATGTTAGTGCCAAATTTGAGTGGGAATCTTACCTAAGGTAACTATGAAAGATGTAATTAAAGCAGACAACAAAATCAGAAAATATACAGCTTTTAAAATCTTAACCATCATCCAAAATGATGGAATGAAAAGAAGTCTAATTAAATAGGACAACATATAAAGAATATCCCTTTGCTACTATGTTAGTACACCAGGTATAAAATAGAAATTTGGGCAATTTTTTTTTTGACAGGCAGAGTTAGACAGAGAGAGAGAGAGAGACAGAAAGAAAGGTCTTCCTTTTCCACTGGTTCACCCCTCAAATGGCCGCTACAGCCTGCGTGCTGCACTGATCCAAAGCCAGGCGCCAGGTGCTTCCTCCTGGTCTCCCATGAGGGTGCAGGGCCTAAGTACTTGGGCCATCCTCCACTGCCTTTCTGGGCCACAGCAGAGAGCTGGACTGGAAGAGGAGCAACCCAGACAGAATGCAGTGCCCCACCGGGACTAGAACCAGGGGTGCCAGGGCTGCAGGCAGAGGATTAGCCTAGTGAGCTGTGGCGTCAGCCATTGAAATTTGCGCAATATTAAGCTATTATGTCTAGAAACTCTTCATATCCACTCTATTTTGAGTTATAACCACAAGATAAATAAGGGTATTTTGGAAGGGGAAGTGTTATATAATCAAGTTAGATAACAAAAAGATAATGCAGAAAAACTAATTTATAAAAAGGGAAAAATAAACCACTGTAATAAAACTTTCTATCACCCCCAAACAGTGATTTCACTTTTTAGAAAACTTTAGAGGACTATATATTCTTAAAGCTTTAGTGAAAGAACTAAATAGTAGGTAGTAATGAGACAGAAAAGAGAAACAGAGGAAAGAAGGCATGATTTAAAAGCTTTTCACCCCAGGCCCCAGAGTTACCATATGTAATTACACATTTAGAAGAGCCAAAGCAATCCAAGAAACACAAAAATGAGTTTCTATATAAACATTTCAACACCATCTTTTTTCCCATTTGTACTTCAAAACATCAATCTAGTGCTTGATATCTGCTGCTTCTATGGTATTGCACAGTAGGTTCCTGTGAAAGCTTACTAGATACTTAATGCTAACAGATTTCAGGCCTTAAAGCAGAATATAGCAAATCTGTTTTCCACCATTCACAAATTTCTGTGATTAGTAACTGCACAGAAAAGGCCACTCAATCAAGAGGGAGGGTAAACATGTCTGAGCCAGCGTTACTGAGCAACAGTGTTCAGGCTGCCAGTTGAACCAGTCATTCCATTTTCACTTTTCTGAAGGGTTCTTACAGCACTTGGAACTTGCATCCCAGTACTCAAAGAAAGTCCACCACACCAAACCTAAGACAAGAGAAAACAAAGCCTTGGTCACATTTCAAATCAAATTAGAACTGCAGTGATTCTTAAATCTCTGTTTGAAAGGTAAAATTCCACATTTATAAACACCAGTCAGTCCCAAACTGCTTTCATTAACTGAGCTTAGAGCCTGTTTTTAGACTCACAGAAGGCCAAACAGAACACACTGGCGCTGCACTTGAGAGGGAACTCAGGGGTTGAAGAAACTGAGAGACTAAATTGCATTCATGGAGGCAAAAGATACTAGCTATCCTTTTCTGATGCTATCCTTCACACTCAGGAAAGTGTGCAAAGAAATAGCTTCCTTATTCCTTATTGTTGCTTTCAGTTTTAATGAGATGTGTCCTAAAACCCACTAGTTTTTCTTTAATCTGTTCCCTATTTCCAACAATAAGAACTCTTATTAATTCTCTAAAAAAGATTTCTGAAAAAATTGAGAATTGACAATATCCAGAAGCAACTGCCATATCTATTCATTATCATAAAACTGCTCTGCTTGTGAACAGAGCAGCTATGACTGAATAGTAAAAAGAGATTTAGAATGGAATCAGTTAAAATATGAAAACATGGATCATTCAAACTATCAACCAGCATGTATACAGGCAGACACAACTTAAAGCAAGGGAAATTCTAAAAGTTGTTTTAAGTACTCCCATTTTCAATTATTTAAGGATTCAGTATTTCATAAACAGAGTAGTGTTCCAAATAAATGATTAGCTAGTATAATTAACATTCTAAATTTTTGAAACTACCAGGCTCAGTACTGGTAACTCCCCAAATACAAAAGCATCCTCTGATTATTAAACTACTATATTTATTTTTTGAAATTAAGTCACTTATTAAACTAGTCACTCAAAATATCTAGCAAAAAGGTACAAGGGCAAATCAATAAAGAAGGGTCTGTCTTTTTAAAAAACAGTATTGGAGGGGCTGGCATGGTGGTGTACTGGGTAAAGCCATTATCTGCAATGCTGGCATCTCATATGTGCACCAGTTTGCCTAACAGCTGCTCTATTCTGATACAGCTCCCTGCTAACAGCCTGGGAAAAGCGGTGAAAGATGGTCCAAGTGTTGGGCCCTGCACTTATATGGGAGAACTTGAAACTCCTGGCTCCCGGCTTTGGCCTGGCCAGTCCTGGTTGCCATTTGGGGAGTGAACCAGTGGATGGAAGCTCTGTCTCTCCTTCTTTGTGACTTTCAAATAAATAAATAAACCTTAGAAAAAAAATGGTATTGGAACAATTGATAATCCTTAAACCATACTTCTGTATCATGGAACAAAATTAGCTCAAAATGGATCATAGAACTAAATGTAAAACCTAAAACTATAAAACTTTAAGAAGAAAATATAGATGAAAAATATTTGTGAAAACAAGTTAGGCAAAGCATTACCTATAAAAGGGAACAAGATTCATAAAACTTAATTCTATCAAAACACAATTCTATAAAATGTTCAGACAATGACACAGCAAGGGCTGGTATTGTGGTTCAGTGGGTAAAGCTACCACTTGCAACACTGGAATCACATATAAGTGCTGGTTCAAGTACAGGCTGCTCCACGTCCAATTCACTTCCCTGACAACGTGCAGGGGAAAACAGCGAAAGATGGCCTAAGGGCTTGGGTCCCTGCAACACAGGTGGAAGATCCAGATAGAATTCCAGGCTCCTGGCTTCAGCCTGGCCTTGCCTTGGCCTTGCCCTGGCCATTGCAGTCAACTGGGGAGTAACTATGCCTTTCAAATAATAAATAAATTCTTGAAACAAAAGAAAAAGAGGAGCTGATGCTGTGGCTTAGTAGGCTAAGCCTCTGCCTGCAGCACTAGCATCCATATGGACGCCAGTTCAAGTCCCAGCTGCTTCTTTTTTGATCCAGTTCCCTGCTACTGCACCTGGGAAATCAGTGGAAAATGGTTTAAGTCCTTGGGCTTCTGCACCCACATGGGAGACCCAGAAGAAGCTCCTGGTTCTTGGCTTCAGGTGGGCCCAGCTTTGGCCATTGCGGCCATTTGGGAAAATGAACCAGCAGATGGAAGATCTTTCTCTCTTTCTCTCTCCCTGGCTATGACTGTGCCTCTCAAATAAATACATAAAATCCTAAAAAAATAAAATAAAATAGGGGCCAGCACTGTGGTGCAGTGGGTAAAGCTGCTGCCTGCAGTGCTAGCATCCCATATGGACACCAGTTCAAGACCTGGCCACTCCACTCTGATCCAGCTCTCTGCTATGGCCTGGAAAAGCAGTAGAAGATGGTCCAAGTCCTTGGACCCCTACACCTGCATGGAAGACCCAGAAGAAACTCCTGGCTCCTGGGTTTGGATCGGCGCAGCTCTGGCCATTGTGGGCATCTGGGGAGTGAACCAGTAGATGGAAGACCTCTCTCTCTGCCTTTCTGTAACTCTGCCTTTCAAATAAATAAATAAAATCTTAAAAAAAAATCAAAAACTGTAAAAAGAGACAAAGATAATATAAGATCTACCTAAGAATTAGAAGAATAAACTTTTTCTGAGTTCCATAGGATAAACAATCTGTCTCTGACCACATTGGAAAAATGGTCCAAAATATATAATATAGCATTGGTTTGTGTTAAGAAATGAAAACAACTTTAGAGTAAATAACTGTTACTGACTGTAAGATTTAAAATAACTGCATTTTCAACCCACATATACTCTGAATATTTTCTCCTCACAGTTAGGAGGTTATACAGTCAGGGATGATGCTGGAAGAACATAAAAAACATTCCACCAAATCTTCACTAGAAATACATCATCCTGGGCCAGCATTGTGGTGCAGCAGGTTAGGCCACAGCCTATGACGCCAGCATCCCAATCAGTGCTAGTTCAAATTCCAGCTGCTACATTTCTGATCCAATTCCTGGCTAATGTACTTAGAAAAGCAGAAGATGGCCCAAGTGCTGACAAAGGAGACCTGGACGCAGTGCCAAGTTCCTGGTTTTGGCCTGGCCCAGTCCCAACCATATGACATTTAAGATCTTTCTGTCTCTTCCTCTCTCTCTGTAACTCTGCCTTTCAAATAAGTAAATTTTAAAATATATAAATATATCACATCCTAATTTTTAAAAGTAACCCCAAAGTTAATGAAATTCTAGCCAGAAAAATGATGGCCTTAAGTGGACCCCAAGAACACAGTAGCCTAACCTTATGGAGAAACTGAAGAGGATTAAGGAGTTAGAAAAAAACAATAAAATTTTCTTTAAAGAATTTCAAAACTATGCTTCATTTTGTGTGAAGAAACATGAATTTTTTAATGTAAATCTGACAAATTAGGTAGAATTGAAATTTTATAAGAGGATTTCAAAAAGTTGATGGAAAACAAAATTAAGTTTATTTGGGTGCAAAAATGTTTTGAAATCCATGCATAGATTTTCTTGTAACACAGTTACATAAACTTTTATATTTTTTTTTTGTTTTATTTAACTCATTTTATTTGTAAGGCAGAGTTAAAGAGAGAGAAGAGAGTACCTTCAATCCCCCGGTTCACTCCACAAATGCCCAAAAAAGAGTTGTGGCTGGATCATGCCAAAACCAGAAATCCAGAACACAAACTGAGTCTCCCACATGGGTAGCAGGTTCCTAGCTATTTGAGCCATCAGTTGCTGCCTCCTAGGGTATGTTTTAGCAAGAAGCAGGAAGAGAGTAGAGGAGGATCTGAATTCAAGTACTGCAATGTGGGATGCTGGTGTCCCAAGCAGAATCTTAACCACTACACCAAACACTTATCCTAAAATGACCTTTTGCAGACCCTGTGTGTACATGGATTTCCAAATTTCTGGCACCAAAATAAACTATCTCTTAATTTCATTTTCCCATGAATTTTTATTATTTATTTTAGAGAGAAGATAATTTATTTTATTATTTATTTGAGAGAGAAAGTATCTCCCCTCTGTTACTTTACTCCCCAAATGCCCACAAGAGCCAGGACTGGGCCAAGGCTGAAGCTGAGACTTAGGTACTCAATCCAGGTCTCCCACATGGGTGGCAAGAACCCAATTATTTGAGCCATTCCCATTGCTTCCCAAGATCCACAGGAAGCTGTGGTATTAGCAAGAAGCTGGAGCCAAGAGCCAGAGCTGGGTACTTAACCCAAGTCTAGGAAATGGGATGCAGGCATCCTGACTGTAAGGCTAAATGCTCACTCCTCTACTTTTTGAAGCACCCTCATATATATGTGTATACCAAACACACATATACAAATTCAGTCTACAGTGCAAACACAGTCATTTAATATGGTACAAAGATGGCCGGCGCCATGGCTCACTTGGCTAATCCTCCGCCTGCAGCACCAGCACCCTGGGTTCTAGTCCCTGTTAGGGCGCCGGGTACTAGTCCCAGGTTGCTCCTCTTCCAGTCCAGCTCTCTGTTGTGGCCCAGGAGGGCAGTGGAGGATGGCCCAAGTGCTTGGGTCCCTGCACCCGCATGGGAGACTGGGAGGAAGCACCCGGCTCCTGGCTTCGGATCGGCGTAGTGCTGCCTGTAGCGACCATTAAGGGAGTGAACCAATGGAAGGAAGACCTTTCTCTCTCTCTCACTGTCTGTAACTCTTTCACTGTCTCTCTCTAACTCTGCCTGGCAAAAAAATAAAAATAAAAAAAATATGGTACAAAGATGGTAGTAAACTAAGATATTTTCAATAAATGGTCCTTCAAACTGGAATCCCTATGGAATTAAAGAATATATCTTGGCTCTTACTTCTTATCAAACACATCAATTCTACATTGTACTTGCACTGAACTATAGTCTCTAATTAAATGTATAAGGTAAAGCTTCCAGAAGAAAACAATAATTTTCATGATCTTGAGGATGAATAATGATCTCTTAAAGAGAAGACAAAAAGTGCAAGCTGTAAGTGAAATAAAAAACCTGATAAACAGGACATTAAAATTAAGAATTTTTGTTCATAGATATCATAAAAAAAGGGAAAGCCAGAGTAGAAAGGATATTTGCAATAGATTTGTCTAGCAAATCAATCAGACCAAATAAAGAACTGCAAATCGATAAGAAATAGGAAGAAAACCCAAGAGAAAATCCAGCCAAAGGTTTGAACAGCTGGTTCTAAAAACAATATGTGGAAACAATCAATAAAGATATAAAAACATGCTCAAGATCATTAGTCAGCAAGGAAATGCAAACTAATGCCCCAATGCAATATATCATTCCCACTAGAAGGTCTAAAATTAAAAAGATAATACCAAGTTTTGTTAATGACATGCAGGAAGTCAAGTTCTCATATACTTTTGTTTGCAAATTAGTATAACCAACCACTTTGTGTTTTTTTTTTTTTAAGATTTATTTATTTTTTACTTGAAAGAGTTACGCAGAGAGAGAGAGAGAGAGAGAGAGGTCTTCCATCCGATGGTTCACTCCCCCAAATGGCCGCAATGACAGGAACTGCATCAATGCGAAGCCAGGAGGCAGGAGCTTCTTCCGGGTCCCCCACGCAGGTGCAGGGGCCCAAGGACTTGGGCCATCTTCCACTGCTATCCCAGGCCATAGCAGAGAGCTGGATGGGAAGCGGAGCAGCCGAGTCTTGAACCCGTGCCCATATGGGATGTCGGCGCTTCAGGCCAGGGCATCAACCCTCTGCGCCACAGCACCGGCCCCAACCAACCACTTTGATAAACTTTTTAGCAGCATTTAATACAGTTGATTATTTATATAACTTATGATTTGGCAACTCAAATCCTTTGTAGGTATCCAATGGAACAAGAATATTCGGAAACCACACATATCACTTCTTGGCTTTTTGAATAAGATCAAGTGCAGAAACCACACACATATTCAACTAAATTAGAATGCATAGTGATAATATGTAAATAATAGAAAACTATACGGCTATGGGAACAAATGAACTACAACCACATAGAACATGGATAAATCTCATAATGTTAACCACAAATGATACTCTGTGACTCCTTTTACATAAAGTTGAGAAGGAGTTAAAGTTGAAATGAATCTTTGATATTAAAACTCAAGATAGTGTCGCCCTTTTGAGGACCATCACTAGGGACTAGAAATGAGCACAAGAGGATTTCTGAGGTTCTGGCAATATTCCATTTCATGACCTTTTCCATTTCATGGTGCCGGTTACAAGCGTGTAGTCCTATGAAAATGCATCAGACCATATGTTTATGACATGCTTACTTTATGTACTAACACTGATTTCAATAAAATATACCAAAATATACAATCCGAGGTTTGGGAGGAAGCAGACTAGAAACACAGGGAAGAATATGAAGAAGAAATGAGATATCTTGCTTTCCAAATATAAAGCACAGATTATACTACTTAAAGTTCAAAACCAAATAAAATATGTTAGGTACTAACCATGAAACCAGGTAGTACTGGCTGAGTAAATTTTGTCTTAAAGGAATATAGCAACTGTTTTGAGCTTGCATCATAGAAAGAAAGTTGACCTAAAAAGAAAGGAAAATAAGCCTAAATATATTACAGACAAAATTATAACATCTAATTAAGTATAATAATCATAATGTAAGAAAATAATGACCTAAAACATATTTTGGCATTGTTTTTATTATAAACTGTAAAGACTGGACATAATAATTCTCACTAGAAAACCACAGCAAACATGTTCAAGAAAAAGCCCAAATCCAGTTATCCTTCCTGGTTTTCAAGACCTCCATGATGCCTTCAAAATGCCTAATAGAGTCTAGCACTATTCTACTCATTCATCTGTAACAATTTTATTATTTTATAAATATTTAACAAATAATTTCATTAGTCCATTTAAAACCAAGGTTATTTCTTCTTCATTTTTATGATAACCAGCTTTTCTACCCAAATCATGTTACCCTTTAAAGTCTACCTCTACATCATACTCTGACTACTAACTACTTGAGTCTATACCTATCCTCCAATCTCTAAAATCACAGAGCAGTCACAAATACTTCAACTTTAATTCTTAAAATCCCCCTCATAGTTTGTCTTTCAGCGTGATCATGCCTTGAATTAACTAAACTCTTAAGCACCCAGCCTGATGGTCTCCTCAGAACTGTTACCACTTCCTGAAACTCCTCTTGGATAACTATTTTCTTGGTTTGTATCCCAACCCTAAAAATACCTTCCGTCTTTTTTCTCCTATTCTAAATGCAGCTGCTCTGTCCAGGCTTTTTTCTCTCGCAATAGTGCTCTTAATAAATCAACTGCTATTAAACAAAGAGGAAGAGAAAAGAACATAATATTTATGTATACTACCGAAGTGTTGGGTGCTTTACATACAGAAACTTCAACATGGTAAACAACCTATGGTCACAAAGTTAGCAAACAGCAGAGCAGTAGTGCTTAGATACATTGTTCTGTGTGATCATCAGTAGCCACTCCAAGATGGTGTGTCATCTATTTACATTTAGCTACTTCTGAGTGAATGCACTTCAAACATGCCTTGTAGTTGTCCTGCTGACATCTCATTTTCTTCTGTGACTATCTAAAAATTTACTGGATATGAGTGTAATTAACATCTTTTCATATGACTATTGTTTATAGCCCTTGCCTACATTCCTGAAGAACTATGGTCTTTGTACTTTTTATATGTTGAACTCTTTATTTAGTGGAGTATTAAGCCTTTGACTACAATGTAAACTGAAAATACATTCTCAACAATTTTCTAAAAATTCAAAAGTGAAATACATTATATACAACCATAGGAGAGTGTAAGAGTTTGTTTGTAAAAATTAAAATATAAGCGGACAGCTAATAACAAAGACTGTATAGGCTGGAAAAAAGGGGCAAGAAATGCAGTGTTAGCAGTTTTAAACAAATAAGGATTATTATGAAAATGTGGATTAGAGAACATAATTCTATATTTATTCAGATGATAAAATACAGGAGCAACAGTCTCAGAAGTCATAACACGATAAAATAAGTCAATTTCAGAAAAGCATTCTAACCAAAAGTTCCAACAATGAAATAGGCTGCTTCTAAAACCATAGGCTTCACACAGCACAAGAGTGGCAATTATCTGTAGAGACAGTATAAAAAGGTTTTAGACTGTGGCAAGTATATTGGGTCATTTCTAAGGTCTACCTCAACTTGAAAAATCTGACTCCACAACTTTTACAGGTAGGTAGTAAAACACAGTAAAGAAGGAATTAAGAAAGAAGAAATTTTAGTGCGGAAGACTAAAATCAGCAAAATCTATCAGACTTACCTATTATAAATAAGTACTTTTGTAGATCTCCAAGCAGGTACAATCAACTGCATAACTTGAGATTACGTTTGTGACCACAGCTTAGTTGTTCAAAATGTCCTTACCACAATACTAAGGGAAATTCTGCAGACAATTACCAATAAAGACTACAGAAACATAAGCAACAGTGATGAAATGACTTATGAGAAAATAAGTAAACTTACCCCCATCAAAATCACAAAATACACCTATTTTCTCAGGAACAGTAACATCCAAAGCTTTGACTTTATTATTATGTTTTGCAGCAAACGTGTTTTGTAGCCAGTTGTTGACATGGATACACCAACTAGTGTTTGTCTTTCCCAATTGGTCAAATTTCCCCAAAGTTTTATATGCCACTCCCACACTGTAGGATTTACAATCCTTCTGGGCCTTGACCTCCCAATAATGTTGTCCGCTTTCAATAGCAGTATCTCCTACAAAAAAATCAAAAAGATAGATTTGGTTTTTTCTTCTTCCTTCTGAGTCATTTATCCTCACCAACTCTTGTCCCACTAATGACTCCCCAAATATTTGAATCAAGTACTCTATGAGAATAATCCTGTTAACATACAAATACTGGGGCTGGCACTTTGGCATGGGTGGTTAAGCCACAGCCTCTGATGCATCCCATATAGGCGCCACTTTGTGTCTCAGCTGCTCCACTTCAGATCCAGATCCCTGCAAATGTGCATGGGAAAGCAGCAGAGTGGCCCAAGTGCTTGGGCCCCCGCACGCATGTGGGAGACGTGAAAAAAACTCCTGGCTCCTGGCATGGGCCTGGAAGAGCCCTGGCAGTTGTAGCCACTGGGGAAGTAAAGCAGTGGATGGAAGACCTCTCTTGCTTTCTCTGTAACTCTGCCTTTCAAATACATAAAAATAAATCTTTAAAAATATAATACAAATACTAAATTTCAGGGTATCCACCACAAATTTACTTTCATATTTATCACTAATTTTTCTGAATATAAAATGCTTCAGAACCTCTCTTCCTTCTTATCCCCTCAAGGGTTATATTCATATGTGGTCACTATGTAAGCTGAGGTAGAGTTTTAGAATTATCAATTATGTAATTTCAAAGATCCCTTTAAATATTTATTTTTATTTATTTGAAAAGCAGAGAGAGACAAGGAGGGAGAAAGGGGCAGAGAGAGACGGAGACAGAGATTACCCCCACCAGCAGTGGCTGGGGACAGGCTGAAGCCAGGAGTCAGGAGCTCAATCCAGGTCGACACGTGAGTGGCAGTTTCCCAATTAACTGAGCCATCACTGCTATCTCCAAGGCTGCAGGAAGCTTGAATCAACCAGGGGCCAAGGCAAGATTCAAACACGGGCAATCCAACACAGGATGCAGGCATCCCAAGAGGCATCTTAACCACTGCAACAGAAGTCTGCGCTGATGACAATATGACTTTAAAATCTCCCGATAGGGCTTCCACAGCGAGAAACTTCTGCAAAGATTGATTTAAAACAGGCGGCACTCTTTAGTGGAAAGTGTGCCATTATGACTGTGACACCGTTAATCCGAGATAAGTAAGAAGGATTATTTTTTACCCTACCCAGCACTGTATATGATTCCCCGGTAAAACGATCTCTGCTGCCTCTTACTGCTGGTGGCCTGGAGCCTACAGATGTCCGTTTGGGGGAAGGTGTACCACTTCTATATAAACAGGAACAAAAAGAAAAATATTTTATATGGCAAATATTTCATAAACTAAAATTACAAATCATGGAAAGAACTTTTGAAAAGATTTCTAATTATACTGCATAAATAGCACCATTTAATTTGATCTGAATTATTAAAAGAGTTATTGATTATAAACACTAAAATATAAGAAGCCATCATTATAAAGCAGGCTGAAAACGCTAATGTCATGCAAACTGAGCAAAGCTTACACAAAGAACACATAGTTGAAATAAGAAACAATGCCAGAACAAGACCAAAATTGCTAAAGGAAAAAAAAAGCTCAAGAAAAATAATAGGATAATGTTCATATATTTTTGCAGTTAAATTTAATAAATCAAAGGCAAAAATAGGCTTTTCCTTATCACCAAATAATCCTACTAGCAGTAGATATTTTTGTTCTGGATCTTTTCTTCTTAAAAGAGAAACAGCAACTGACCAAATCCATGTACAGGACAATATCCAATATTATAAACTATTTCTCTTGCTAAAATGAACAATATCCAACCTGACTTCTTCTGTCAAATTATGTGATATAGTAATCTGTACAGTATTAGCCTTGGTACTAACTCTCAAAAACTCAAAATTGATGAGATTCCAAAGATGTTTTAAATATAACATTTTAATTTTGTTAAATCACTGCATTTTTAAAAAGAAAAAAAATTAGTCAACATAATACTAAAGTTACTATGAGGGGGCATGAAGTTAACAATATACATTCTTACCACTAATTAGAAATAAGAACATTTGGCTAACATAATTGCACTAGAATATTTCTCCTTAAGATTACTTTAGGGCCGGCGCCGCGGCTCACTAGGCTAATCCTCCGACTTGTGGCACTGGCACACCGGGTTCTAGTCCCGGTCGGGGCGCCGGATTCTGTCCCGGTTGCCCCTCTTCCAGGCCAGCTCTCTGCTGTGGCCAGGGAGTGCAGTGGAGGATGGCCCAAGTGCTTGGGCCCTGCACCCCACGGGAGACCAGGATAAGTACCTGGCTCTTGCCATCGGATCAGCGCGGTGCACCGGCTGCAGCGCACCGGCTGTGGCGGCCATTGGAGGGTGAACCAACGGCAAAGGAAGACCTTTCTCTCTGTCTCTCTCTCTCACTGTCCACTCTGCCTGTCAAAAAAAATAAATAAAAAAGATTACTTTAGTAGATTTTAATAAGATATCATTAATATTGGAATAGAAATCCCTGACAAAGACAAAGCAAGAATAAAAATAAAATTTAAAGTCATTTCACATGATTCAGTGTCTTCAGTCTGCATTAGCTAAATGTCTTGCTATCACAACACAGATTTATCAGTTTCAAGGAATTAAACAGTAAACTCAGGACCACTTCAACTGTTTTCCAGTCAATGATATTTCAAGTGTTACAAGTCAGTAATTCAGTGTATATATTATTGTTTAATTCTCCCCAAAGGATGGCAAAGGTCCTGTTCGTAAAGGTATTTCTTTAAAAAAAAAAACACACACATGCTACTGACTATAAGTTGTATTTGAACAGACAGCATGAATAGAGGTAACTAAAAAGGGGAGACTGAAATTTCTGTGAAACTTGTGACCAGGTAGGCAGTTACTGGTGTCTTCCTATTGCGGAGGGGAAGGAAAAAAAAAAAACCTGAGGGAAAAAACCCAGTAATGCTTTTAAGCTATTCTCTAAAGTAGAGGACACAAATAAAAATAGAAAATTTTATACTCTCTATTAGGAATATCAAAAATATAATTTTTGTCTTCAAGAGTTGGTTTGCTCAGGTTTTCTGAGTTAATATAATCATGTGCCACATAATGAGACATTTAGTTACTGATAGACTACATACCAGTGGTGCCATAAGATTTTAATAGAACTGAATAATTCCTATCACTTAGCGAACACACAGCTGAAGAAGATGCAAGAGAAAAATGAACTGCAGAAGAAAAAGAACCACCTTCAAGAAACGGGTGTATCAGAATGCTTTTGGAGATCTCAACAAACTCCTTCAAAAGTTTGAAAATATGGACCCAACACCAAAAGCTTTTCACTGATAGAGAGGAATGTTCATAATACATTATCTGTTTACAAGCAAATCTATGATGAAAAAAATAAACAAACCAAGCAAACCACCATGGACACATTTCTGAAAAGTCTCAAGCAAATCATTAAGAAGGTACCCAAAAGAGGGCATTGTTACAACAGGAGATGATTACTCCATGTATACTGTGCTACCCACAAAAAAATTTCAGTGGGACAAGAAGGGGAAGTAGAAGACAACAGTGATTCTGACCCAATGTAGGCCTAGGCTAATGTGTGGCTGTGTCTGTTTTTAAAAAAGATTAAAATGTTAAAAAATTTTAATATTAAAAGTAGACCATCTAAGGACCCTTTAAACATGTAAATTACCAGGACTCACCATAGGCTAGTGAATCAGAACATTGGAAAGTCAGCTTGAGAAATGCATGTTTGTGTTTGTGAATTAAGAATTTCAAGATCTTGCTGCTCACCAGGCTAGTAGCCACTGAGATTAAAAACAAAAACAGAAAAGTCCCTCATCAAAAATGTGATGGAGAAAGACAGTTCTTACATACTCTACCATATGGTCCCTCATGACTTGGCTGCCATACCAAGCAAGGAACTTAGATGTGGATTAGCTGAGAGAAGAGAAATTACTATTATCAGGACCACATCTTCTCATCTCTGTATTCTCAAGACACAGAGTTATGAAATATCTTGACTAAAATGAATGAACTCAACTGAATAAATGGGATATGTGAAGTTATCAACTAAGGCCCACATATTCCTGCCTGAGCCACAGTCCTAAATTGGAGAACTAGAACCCTTTGGAATTTTATAATAGTTGCTATCAACTGAAGAGTAACAGAATCTGAATCAATCAAGAAATTATTTCAAAATATTCTGACAATTCATCTTCTCAGCTGGTAACCCAGAATGTCTGCTGGGAGGAAACACACATTTTGAAAAGTATTTCCTAGGTACTTAAAGCTAATAATTAGCATAGGAAATTCATATAAGCATTTTTTTCATTTAGCACTGCTTCAAAATAAGCCAAGAGCCCTTTTGATAACCAGAAAAATATTTTTGAAGAAAAAAATTATAACTTACCAGTAATAAAGAAAAAGGAAAGCATGAAGAAAAGAAAAGAAAACTATTGAGAATGGCAGGTTAGTTTCAGAAGAAGTTAAGTAAGGAGAACTCTCCCATGGCAGCATTCCAGCATTCCAGCATTCCAAGTACATGTTTGCAAGTAGTACAACGGCTATTACTGCTTTCAGTCAAACATGGTCTCCTTCCATTCATTCCTCATCCCACTTCTCTCTAAGCACCGGAGTCACTTAACCACCTGAATCAAGGGCTCTTTTCTACCTCCAGTCTCAACAGTTTTAAAAGCTTTCCAAATGACCTCTTTGCCACCCCACCCATTTCATCTTGTTCACTATTAGAAGACAGATCTAACTCTGATCTATGCACCTTAAAATCTTCAAGTACTTTATTACAAATGACTTAGCTTGGCATTTCAGGTTCATGGTTTGTTCCCTGTCTGCCTTTCTAGCTTCTCAACCCCTAGAGCACGTTATACAGCTAAACATAGCAGTCAAGGTATTCTGTAAATCTGCACAATCTTTTCAATGCCTCTTGTTCACTCTCTCAGAGCAAGTCCAAATGCAGACATTCTTGTACTTCCTCAGGATCTACCCTAAAAACCATTCCCTTAATAAAAGTCTCCCAGATCTACCAGGCTAAATAACTCATTTGAGGAGTCAAGTTCTGGCCCAAAACTGTCTTGTGTTGTCTTTCAGGCCCAACCACTGGCACTTACAAAAGCCTGCAGTAGGTGGATGGGGCATAGGTTGGGATGGGCTCTTTACACTAGTCTTAGTCCTTTCTAGAGGGAGCTACAATTCCAACCCTCAGGACATGAGGTTCATATGTGTATGTATATTCCCAGCCGAGGCACCTCTATTCAGAGGCACCCTTATGGGAGGAAAGCTCTAGGCTGAGATACTTTTTAAGGGTCCCCCCCAATACCTCCTTTAAAGAAGATGGGAAGGGCCTCTGAAGACACCTTTCTCTTAGTACTTTTATACTCTTAACCCTCCCTCTTTCCCACCTTCTTGGTCCTCAGATCCATAAATAGGCAAGGCCTGTTTGGGGTTTGCTGGCAGTGAGAAGAATCTCTAGAGTGATCTGACTCACTTGACGTCTACCCAGTGCTGTTCTTTCAGGGAATATGGAACCCTGATGGAATGATACCCTTTTCCTTTACAGCCTCTTGCTTGCACTACCACAATCAATCAATAAAAAGTTGATTATTACTTTCATTATGGCTAACTGTTGTTAACTGACCACCTCAACAAATACAACTCTGAACATCTTTCTTTCTTTTCAGCTTTATTCATACTTACCATTACACATAATGTCTACCTTGCATTACTGTTACTTATGTGTGTATCTCATCTACATGAGAGAGGGCAAATTTCTTGAAGGCAGGGTCACTGTTTATACTTATACGCCCCATAACATCCAATAGATATTTCACAGTGAACAAATATTTATAGAAAGAATAAATAAATGTATATAACATTCCCAGAGTGGCCTACAACACATAAAGCATCCTTAAAAGGAAGGGAGGAAAAAAACAATATAACTCAAATGCTAAATACAGCATTCTAAAAATTTCCAGGTAACCAAATCAAACTTCACAGACTATATTAAATTCAGGAGCATTTTATAATTTATAATACACTAAAAAAAATCACTTTTTAACAATAATGAACAAATAAACTAAAAAGAAGAGAGGAAAATAATCTGAAAAGATTATGGTTTCTCGTAAAGGTGTATGCTATCTTCAAATAAGCACATTATTATTCATGCAATTAGAAATGATCCATCTTTCTGGCATTGTCTTAAAAATCTGAGTGATGATCTCTATTTTTTATCCTTCATTTCTTGGAACTACATAATACTATAAATTACAGAATGCTTCAAACCTGCCTCATGTCAAATACAAATAAAAGCAAAGCTATAATGTTAGATATACTGAATACATAAACAAGAAAGATGCCAAGTATAAGTAAAAGCAGAAAAAAGATCAGATGGGGGGAAAATAATTCAAGAAAGATTTTAAAGCAGAGCTTATTGTTTTGTTATCATTTACAACACAATTCAAAGAATATGCAACACACGATAATGCTGTAAATTCAAAACATAAGCTACCAAAACAGACAGTCTACACAGAGCAGTATTTTAGCTTATGAAGGCTGCTGCAATGGTTTCTGCTTGCTGGTTAAAAGAAAAAAATTAAAGTTACTCAGCCAAGCTAGATATACTAAATCCTAGAACTAGGCAGACATAGATCATCACCTTGTATGCTTCTTCAGTGAAGTAACATGGACACTGTCAGATAAAAATAGGCAACTGTTATGAGAGTGTGATTTAACACCATATAATAAGATCAAAAGCCTGATGAGGAATTTTTTCTGACTCATTGTTGTAACTCAACAGTGGCATTTACCTTCAGTTTGAGCAAAAGACAGAGGCTCCCACACTTTGACATTACCTAAATGAGTTATGAAAATAACAAAAGGTCCTTGAGCCCACCTCTTGGGTTCAGGAGGATGATAGTAAGGGAGATGTACATGCTAATAATTGTCATTTAGTGCAGACCTTCAGGTAAGACATGTGATCTGTAAGTCTAAAATTCAGAAATTATACTAGGAACTCCTATCTAAGGAGTTCAAGTTGATAAAACTTTAAAGAGATGGAATACAGAAATTAAAATGTATAAAGGGATTAGGAAGAAACTAAACAACAAGCAAGACATTTACAGATAAATTCAACTAATGACACATGGTATTATATTCTTCACTTTGATATTACAAATATACTGGTATACAGAATAAGAATTTCAGTATAAGTCACTGTCAAATAGAAACAAAGTATAAGCATTTGTCCACGTAACAGATTCAATGAACTAGCTTACCTGCCCTTATTCTCTTTTCCTTTAATTTTACTGTCTTGACCTTTTCCTCCAGTAGGATCCCACTCTACACAGGTATCTTCAACTTTCAAGTTCAAATGGGATGAAGAGCCATCCAAATTGAAGTTAAGTGCTGTCCAATAAAATATTTCCATTTAAAAAATGTAGCATATCTCCCAACGATCATCACATTATTCTCCTATTTAATAGATTCAACACTGTATAAAGAGAATAAAGCTTAAATTCCCCATGTCAGTGTTTAAAACTCTCAATGATTAGCCCATAACTTACAATTCCTACTATTTTCTCCATTTTTATTCTCTATATGTCTTATATTCCAAGTAAATATAATGTACTTGCATAGCCACTGGTATTTATGTTATTTCTTCTACTAGAATCTCCATCAGTACACACTAACTCAAGTTAGACTATCAGTTGAAAGAGCTTAAGAAGGCTTAACGGCTGGCGCCGCAGCTCAACAGGCTAATCCTCCGCCTAGCGGCGCCAGCACACCGGGTTCTAGTCCCGGTCGGGGCGCCGGATTCTGTCCCAGTTGCCCCTCTTCCAGGCCAGCTCTCTGCTGTGGCCAGGGAGTGCAGTGGAGGATGGCCCAGGTGCTTGGGCCCTGCACCCCATGGGAGACCAGAAGCACCTGGCTTCTGCCTTCTGGCTTCTGCCGCGGCGGCCATTGGAGGGTGAACCAACGGCAAAGGAAGACCTTTCTCTCTCTCTCTCTCACTGTCCACTCTGCCTGTCAAAAAATAAAAATTAAAAAAAAAAAAAAGAAGGCTTAACCCACTGTGCTATAGTGCCAGCCCCAAGGATGCTCACTTTCACACTTTTCCCCCCCTTTTTAAAAATAGGTTCTGGGAGAAGTTTTTTTTTTTTTTTTTTTGCCGGAGGTTTTTACCAGATAGAAAAACCCAGGAGAAAAATTTTTTTCCCTTCGTTGGTTCCCCCACCCCAAAAGGGTTTCCCTGGGGGGCGCGCTGCGCCAATCCGAAGCCAGGAGCCAGGTGCTTCCTCCCGGTCTCCCATGCGGGTGCAGGGCCCAAGGACTTGGGCCATCCTCCACTGCCCTCCCGGGCCACAGCAGAGAGCTGGATTAGAAAAGGAGCACCCGGGCCTAGAACCTGGTGCCCATATGGGATGCCAGCACCACAGGCATCTCTCCCAAAAAGCTCTTACTGGGTAACTTAGCTTGGCCTAGGAAGAGGAGGGGAGGGGAGGAGGCTGAGTGAGAGAGAGAAGGAGGGTGGGCAAGGGGAGCAGACTGAGATCCCGTGGGACATGGGGTCATTTAGGGGGTGGGAAGGAAGCAGACCAGGTATGTGTGTTTCTGAGTGTGCGTGTATGTTCATGTATGTATGTATGTACATGTGTGCAACAGAGCAGGGGTGAAGATTTGACGGGAGGGAGGGAGGAACCAAGGGGGAAACAAAAAATGAATTTATCTTTTTTTTATAATGCAAACCAGAGTATGCTGGCCACTATTAATGTAGACATCAGGGTGAGGCTGGGAGTAGAGCCATGGAAATCACAAGTTTCCTTCTAAGCTGGGTGAAGAGAAGGCCTAGCTAACTGAAGTCGCTGGTCTTCAAAGCCACGTCTGTTTTAGAATTTGGGGAAAATCATGAGAGAAAATGGGCATTACTAATCTCTTCTTTTCCCCAGTGGCTGCCTCTGAGCAGGGCTCCCTTCCCGGCTGGGCGGCTGTGTGGGAAGGAAAAGCACGGCCATGAATGAGTGACAGCTGCTGGCGTTGTGGCTGGAAGAGACTGACCGAGCCCCTTGCTGCCCGCCCTGCTGGCCTTTTTCTTCTTCCCTTCCCTGCTAGAGAGCTCCATGTTAACAGAGACAGATATATATATATATCTGTCTGTCACAGACATTAGGCAAGAAAAAGAAACTAAAGCGATACAAATTGGAAAGGAAGAAGTCAAATTATCCTGGTATGCAGATGATGTGATTCTTTTTTTTGTTTTTGTTTTTTGACAGAGTGGACAGTGAGAGAGAGAGAGAGAGAGAGAGAGAGAGGGACAGAGAGAAAGGTCTTCCTTTGCCATTGGTTCACCCTCCAATGGCCGGCGCAGCCAGCGCGCTGCGCTGATCCGATGGCAGGAGCCAGGTGCTTCTCCTGGTCTCCCATGGGGTGCAGGGCCCAAGCACTTGGGCCATCCTCCACTGCACTCCCTGGCCACAGCAGAGAGCTGGCCTGGAAGAGGGGCAACCGGGACAGAATCCGGCGCCCCGACCGGGACTAGAACCTGGTGTGCTGGCGCGTGCTGGCGCCGCTAGGCGGAGGATTAGCCTGTTGAGCCACGGCGGTGCCGGCCAGATGATGTGATTCTATACAAAGGGGAATCAGAAGACTCCACTAAAAGCCGACTGGAACTCCTAAGAGAATTCAGTAAAGTGGTAGGATGTAAAATTAATATAAAAAATCAATAGCCTTTATATACATAGACAAATGCAATGGCCAAGAAAGAACTTGTAAGATCAGCCCCACTTGGCTGGCACTGTGACATACTAGGCTAAGCCACCACCTGCAGCACCAGCTTCCTATACGGGCACCAGTTGGAGCCCCAGCTGCTCCTCTTCTGATCCAGTTCTCTGCTATGTTCTGGGAAAGCAGTGGAAGACGGCCCAAGTGTTTGGGCCCTTGTGCCTGGTGGGAAACCCAGAAGAAGCTCCTGGCTTCTGGTTTCGGATGGGCCCTGCTCCAGCCATTGCGGCCATTTAGGGAGTAAACCAGTGGATGAAAGACCTTTCTCTCTGTCTGTAACTCTACCTTCTCAAATAAATAAATAAAAGTAAAAAAAAGATTTATTAAAATAAGATCAGTCCTATTCACTATAGCCACAAAAAATTTAAATACCTTGGAATAAGTGTAACCAAGGAGGTAAAAGATATCTACAAAATTTATAAAATATTAGGAAAGAAATAGTAAAAGAAACAAAAAAAAACATGGAAAAAATCTTCCATGTTTGTGGTCTGAAAGAATTAATATCAACAAAATGTCCATACTACTGAAATCAACTTCCAGATTCCAATGTGATCCCAGATTTCAAGACATAGTAGAGGGAAGTTATAACCAAAACTGCCTGGCACAGGCACAAAAATCAACATGTAGACCAATGGAACAGAATAAACTTCAGGAATCAATTAATGTGTCTACAACCAACTAACCTTTGACAAAGGAGCTAAAATAATCCCTGGAGAAAGCGTAGACTTTTCAACAAATTGTGCTGAGAAAAGTGGACCTCCATTTTCCTACTTTATGCCTTACATAAAAACCAACTCAAAATGAATCAAGGATCTAAATCTATATTGTGATACCATCAAATTACTACAGAAGAACATAGGGAAAACTCTGCAAGACACTGGCACAGGCAAAGATTTCTTGCAAAAGCCCCCAGAAACACAGGAACTCCAAGCAAAAATAGACAAATGGGATTACATCAAGCTAAGAACATTCTGCAAAGGAAACATTCAACAAAGTAAAGAAGCAACTAACAGAATGGGAGAAAATATCTGTAAACTATGTGACTGATAAGGGATTAATACCCAGGATATATAAGGAGCTCAAGAAATGTGACAACAACAAAACAAACAACCCAGTTAAGAAATGGGCAAAGGACCGACCTGAACAGGCATTTTTCAAAAGAGGAAATTCAAATGGCCAACAGACACATAAGAAAATGCTCAGGGTCACTAGCCATCAGGGAAATGCAAATAAAAACCAAAAAGAGTTTTTATCTCATCCCAGTCAGAATATCACCTAAAAAATCAAAAAACAATAAATGCTGGCAAGGATGTGGGGGGAAAGGTACCCTAATCCACTGTTGATGAGAATGTAAACTAGTATAGCCATTATGGAAAACAGTATAGAGATTCCTCAGAAAGCTGAAATTAGATCTACTATATGACCCACCATTTGCCTCCTGGGAATTTATCCAAATGAAGTGAAACCAGTATATGAGTCCCAACACACAGCATTTAGTTAATAAGCTTAAAAGGACTAGAATCTATGTAGTCATACTGCAAGTCCCAAAGCCATGAGTTTGGTAAGATTTAGATTTTTTTTTTTTTTTGACAGGCAGAGTGGACAGTGAGAGAGAGAAAGACAGAGAGAAAAGGTCTTCCTTTGCTGTTGGTTCACTCTCCAATGGCCGCTGCGGCCGGCGCACCGCGCTGATCCGAAGGCAGGAGCCAGGTGCTTCTCCTGGTCTCCCATGGGGTGCAGGGCCCAAGGACTTGGGCCATCCTCCACTGCACTCCCTGGCCACAGCAGAGAGCTGGACTGGAAGAGGGGCAACCGGGACAGAATCCGGTGCCCTGACCGGGACTAGAACCCAGTGTGCCGGCGCCGCAAGGCAGAGGATTAGCCTATTGAGCCACGGTGCTGGCCCAAGATTTAGATCTTGATAATATGAACTGCAGTCCAACTCCAAGGAAATGACAGCCAGTTGTTCATTTTCTTAAACAAATAGAATTTGCACAGACACATCAGTTTATACCATTTAGGTCTAGGTTTGGCCATTAAATATAAAAGGTGAATGAAATAGAACAAACAAAACAAAAAAGAAAATGATGTCTGAATAATAATAGCAATGAAATTTATTTGAATATATGGGCCAAAAACCAGTTCAAGTTATATAGAAAAGATTATCTGCCTCTAATTATGACTATATTTTGAAAACCTCTAAAACTACAGTAACATGTAAGTCTGATAATAAGTAATTCAAGGGTCGGCGCCGCGGCTCACTAGGCTAATCCTCTGCCTAGCGGCGCCAGCACACCGGGTTCTAGTCCCGGTCGGGGCGCCGGATTCTGTCCCGGTTGCCCCTCTTCCAGGCCAGCTCTCTGCTGTGGCCAGGGAGTACAGTGGAGGATGGCCCAGGTGCTTGGGCCCTGCACCCCATGGGAGACCAGGAAAAGCACCTGGCTCCTGCCATCGGATCAGCGCGGTGCGCCGGCCGCAGCGCACCGGCCGCGGCAGCCATTGGAGGGTGAACCAACAGCAAAGGAAGACCTTTCTCTCTGTCTCTCTCTCTCACTGTCCACTCTGCCTGTCAAAAAAAAAAAAAAAAAAAAAAAAAAAAAAAGATAAGTAATTCAAAGTAATTACATGTCTTGGTTATTATCTATAGTTCTCAAAAAACATTTGCTAATATAAATAAATTGCTTAAAGTTAAGACTTTTCTTTAGACTTTGTGATGCAAACATACTCCTGAATTTGTCTCTTCTATAACTTATGGACATCACATTTTATTTTATTCTAATATGTTACTTTTATACCATCCTCCAAATCACAACAATTTTCTGGCAAGAAAACCAATTCAAATATTATATGAACTAGGGGTCAGTACAATACCCTGAATTCCAAGTACCTGTAACAATGTGTAACATCTGACTGAAGAAATAAATTCAGCCAGTATCAGCTCACAATAGGAAGATTTCTAACAATACAGACTTCACACTGGTAAACAGCTACAAAATCTCTTTTAATTATTTCTGTATTCAAATAAATTATTCTAGGACATTTTAACTAAATGCAAATTGCTCTCAGAGACTAGAACAACTTAGTTTCCAGGCCTACAATAAGGGCTGGAACAGAACTTAGAAACAGATTCTTATTCACATCTTTCCAAGCTGCATGTAGTGACCATAAACAAGTCATTTAACACATATGAATATCACTTTACTCATTTGCAATATCAGTATCAGTTAAATAGTCTATTTATTTCTCAAGATGATTTTAAAGACAAAAAGAATTTTATCATTAACATGCAATATAAGTCTTAATTACAATAAGAGGAAAACAGAAGGGACCAAAACTAAATTGAACAGGTACCTTTCTCATGATTCATAATCCATTCTCTGGAAAAATTCTAAATAAACCTCAATGTTTATGTTTTTATACTAGAATAAAATTTATAAACTAAGCAGCTACCAGAGAATATAATACTATCATCTGCATCTAGTTTATCATATGGATATAATCACAAAGAAAAACTCAATTAAAAATCATTATTCTAGTCCTATTTTCCTAGCCTTATAACTACTTCTATTGCAAAAGCTAGAGGTGGGCAAAGAATTCAACCATATATGAAATGCTTCCTGTCGCTTCTGAATAGCTTCAGATGTTCAGTTGTGTTTTGTGCTGTGTAAATAGCTGCTGATCTTACCTTTGGTTTCCAGAGTCACGGGATCAGAAAACTCTCCAGCCACAGCCTTGTTACAAGCTCGCACTCTGAAATTCATATACTTAGAATCAAATTTTAAGCCTGAAAAAGTGAAAACAATTTTCAGACGTGAAGAGTAAAATTCTAAGTATGAACCTTCAAATACATACTTTTTCCTCCTTGGAAGTAATTATTCAAGAAGAGTTGGAATTCATATTAAAATGGCAACAATGCATGAAATAAAAAGAATCATGATTTATCTACTATTTGCTTCAAAAGAAACAAATTATATAGTTTATCAACTTTTGGAAACTTTTTAAAATGTATCCTTTCAGAGCTCATGAGAGTATTTCAGGCATGGAAAGCCAAGACACTCTGGCAAAAGATCTCTGCGAGTGAGATCCCAGTGGAAAGAACAGGTCATCAAAGAAGGAGGTACCTTTCTCTGAAGGGAGGAGAGAACCTCCACTTTGACTATGACCTTGTCTAAACAAGATAAGAGTCGGAGAACTCAGAGGGCTTCCATAGCCTTGGAAACTCATGACTGGAGCATAGGGAGATTACTGATGCCATAGACAGGAGTGTCAATTGGTAAAGTCAACAACAGGAGTCACTGTGCACTTACTCCTCATGTAGGATCTCTATCCTTAATGTGCTGTACATTGAGATTTAATGCTATAACGAGTACTCAAACAGTATATTTCACTTTGTGTTTCTATGGGGGTGCAAACTGTTGAAATCCTTACTTAATGCATACTAAACTGATCCTCTGTAAAAAAAAAAAAAAAAGAAATTATCAATTCCTAACTTGACTCTCACTGGGATTAAACATGACAATAGGTCTGATCTGATTTCATCATCATTTAAAAAAAAATCATCTATTATTTTCACTTTATGTTTCTGTGTGGGAGCAAACTGTTGAAATACATACTTGATGTATACTAAGCTGATCTTCTGTATATTAAGATAATCGAAAATGAATCTTGATGTGAATGGAAGGGGAGAGGGAGTGGGAAAGGGGAGGGTTGTGGGTGGGAAGGACGGTATGGGGGGGAAGCCATTGTAATCCATAAGTCGTACTTTGGAAATTTATATTCATTAAATAAAAGTTTAAAAAAAATGTATCCTTTCAGACTTCACTAAAAGTATTTCAGTCAAATAGAGAGGCAAGATTTATAATAACAATTCATTTTTAGAAAGTAGACACCTTAAAGAATGTATTTATGAAATACTGTCCTTTCATGTGAAAATAGTTTAAAAGGAAGTAAAACATAGAGATTAATAAAAACTTTGAAATTAAGTCTCATTTAAAACTCAGTTAAAAAATTACTAGCTATGAACAGTCAATAGACTGTGTCTTAGTTTTCTACCTAAAACAGAAACAATAAAACCAATTTCACAAATGCTGTAGAGATTAAATGAGATGTCTTATACATTAATACATTTGAGTCCACCTCCTGAAAAATATTAAGCGTACAATAGTAGCTCCTAATGTTACCAATCGTGTAAAACAGGTATTGAACAACTCTGGCAATATTTGGCCATCTCAAGTATCCAAACCTTCTATGTACTGAGTTGTCTTTTTAAAGGTTTTTAAAATGCCAACACACAAATTTCTAATACCAACTCAAAGATCTATTTTAAGTACTAACATAATCTTAAAATAGTAAAAACAACGGTATTTACAGTGTAAGTAAAAGGTGGGCTTTAAGTACATCTAAAAAATTGACAGCATTTTTATTCAATCAGAAACCAAGGCAAAAATCAAATGCCACTTTGAAATACTGTTTCTAGACTCTCTTCAGATTTGTTTTACATACCCTGTTTTACTAGGGTATAAATGTCCAGAATTAATTAAAACAAAGATTTTTCTTTGGTATTTTAAGAAAAACTGACTTCCACAATGAGTATTTTCAAAGTCAGCTAGTTAAACAAACTTACTAACAATTACATTATTTTTTTTTTCTAAATTACCAATGCTGTTCAGCTTTCTTTTTTTTTTCTTTTCCTTTTTTTTTATTTAGTAAATATAAATTTCCAAAGTACAGTTTATGGATTACAATGGCTCCCCCCCCCATAATTTCCCTTCCACTCGTACCCCTCCCATCTTCCACTCCCTCTCCCCTTCCATTCACATCAAGATTCATTTTCGATTCTCTTTATATACAGAAGATCAATTTAGTATATATTAAGTAAAGATTTCATCAGTTTGCACCCACACAGAAACACAAAGTGAAAAATACTGTTTTAGTACTAGTTATAACATTACTTCACATTGGATAACACATTAAGGACAGATCCCACATGAGAAGTAAGTACACAGTGACTCCTGTTGTTGACTTAACAAATTGACACTCTTGTTTATGGCGTCAGTAATCTCCCTAGGCTCTAGTCATGAGTTGCCAAGGCTATGGAAGCCTTTTGAGTTCCTGACTTCGATCTTATTCAGACAGGGTCATAGTCAAAGTGGAAGTTCTCTCCTCCCTTCAGAGAAAGGTACGTCCTTCTTTGATGGCCCCGTTCTTTCCACTGGGATCTCACTAGCAGAGATCTTTCATTTAGGGTCTTCTTCTTTTTTTTTTTTTCTTGTTTCTTTTCTTGTTTTTCTTTTTTTTTTAACCAGAGTGTCTTTGCTTTCCATGCCTAAAATACTCTCATGGGCTCTTCAGCCAGATCTTAAGGGCTGATTCTGAGGTCAGAGTGCTGTTTAGGACATCTGCCATTCTATGAGTCTACTGTGTATCCTGCTTCCTATGATGGATCATTCTCTCCCTTTTTGATTCTATCAGTTAGTATTAACAGACACTAGTCTTGTTTGTGTGATCCCTTTGACTCTTAGACCTATCAATGTAATCAATTGTGAACTGAAATTGATCACCTGGACTAGTGAGATGGTATTGTACATGCCATCTTGATGGGATTGTATTGGAATCCCCTGGCACGTTTCTAACTCCACCATTTGGGGCAAGTCCGATTGAGCATGTCCCAAATTGTACATCTCCTCCCTCTCTTATTCCCATTCTTATATTTAACAGGGATCACTTTTCAGTTAAACTTTAAACACCATACAACCCAGCCATACCACTCCCTGGAATTTACCCAAAGGAAATTAAATTGGCAAACAAAAAAGCTGTCTCCACCTTAATGTTTATTGCAGCTCAATTCACAATAGCTAAGACCTGGAACCAACCCAAATGCCCATCAACAGTAGACTGGATAAAGAAATTACGGGACATGTACTCTATAGAATACTATACAGCAGTCAAAAACAATGAAACCTGGTCATTTGCAACAAGATGGAGGAATCTGGAAAACATCATGCTGAGTGAATTAAGCCAGTCCCAAAGGGACAAATATATGTCCTCCCTGATTGGCGACAACTAACTGAGCACCAAAGGGGAAACCTGTTGAAGTGAAATGGACACTATGAGAAACAGTGACTTGATCAGCTCTTGTCCTGACTGTTGATGTACAATGTAATACTTTTTCCATTTTAGTATTTCTTTTTGTTCTAGTACTATTGGTTGAACTCTGTAATTAACACACAATTATTCTTAGGTATTATACAATTACATTATTAAAAAGGAGATTCCTGAAATGCAGTTAATTTACCTGATAATGTGTATTCAGTACCCTTAATATGATCAACTAGCTCCCAGCATCGTTCATCCTTTACACGTGGAAGCCCATCAAAATTAGTTTTCCTATATTCCAATATAAAATGGTCAATCTTATTATCTTCTTCTGGCATTCTCCAAGCTACTGTTACAGAGTTGTCAGCCACCATACACTCTACTGGATCTATCTCTGGAGCTTTGGGGACTGCAAAGAAGAAAAAAAAAAAACATTCATTCCTCATTTATGATAGCACTAATCAAATATTTATGTTTGACATTCAAGCTGCTTTTTCACCTTACTTTTAAACTCTTCAGAAATGAATCCAGAGAAAATGCAAAATAATTATTTTCAAAGAATCTGTTATTGCTCTACTGAAATAATTCAAAAGGTTTTCACAAATTTATTCAAAGTGTTAAAAATCTTAGATGGTAAAATCAAAGATGCTAATGATAAAGAATCAATAATGACCTGTTACTTATAAACACGTTATAGTTTTTTTAAAAAGATTTATTTATGTATTTGAAAGGCAGAGTTACAGAGAGAGGAGGAGAGACAGAGAGGTCTTCTACTTGCTGGTTCACATCCCAGATGGCCGCCAGAGCTGGGCCATGATGAAACCAGGAGCCTGGAACTCCATCTCACCCTCCTGCCTGAGTGCAAGGACTGAAGTACTCGGGCCACCTCCCACTGCTTGCCCAGGCACATTAGCAGGGCACTGGATCAGAAGCTGAATAGCTGGGACTTGAACTGGCACGCATATAGAATGTTGGAGTTGCAGGCAGTGGCTTAACTCAGTGCTACAACACCAACACTTTTAACATATTATTTTCAAACAGCTACAGAATATAAATTGGCCCATATTCACAAAGTGAATAGAATGCTTTCAAAATAATGATTGCAATAATTCATGACTATATTTTTATGTATTTTTAAAACATTTACATAAAAATTGTTTTTCTCAGCACTAAGCAAAAACAAATTCCTCAATCCTCCAAAACACTTGGGTATTTTTAAATGTTTCTCCCGAGTGCTATCATTCACTAAAATAAACTGGAATAAATGAGCCACATTTGACATGTACAAACATTAATCAATTGCTTTTCTATAAAAGAGATTTTCATAGCTTTTCAACATTAACTCATGTTCCCTTTACACAGCAGTGAGCTATTTAGAGAACATGGACCTCCTGTGATAGAGATGTGTCTGAACTGTGTCAAACTATATAGTCTAGCAGGAATTATATTTCAACATTTTCTTGCTAAAAAAAAAAGAATTTTTATTCATGGTAAACTTTTTACCCCTGGTATGCAAGACCAGTTCAACATTTAAAATCAATGTAATCTATCAATCTATCATATAAATAGAAGAAATAGTAAGTGATTATATCAATAAAGAAAGAAAAATATTTGATAAAATTCAATATCCATTCATAACAAAACCCCTCAGAATACTAGTAAATAAATGGAAATTTATTTTATATAGTGTCTTCAAAAACACCTATACCATCATACTTATTAGTGAAAAATGACATACCACCTATAAGTATTAGAAATAAACCAAGTATATGCCCTCTCATTATTCCTATTCAACATTTTACTGGAAGTCTTAGTTAATGCAATAAACAAGAAAAGAAAATAAGAGTTAAGTAAATTGAGAAGGAAGAAATAAAACTATAGATAATATGATTATGTAGAAAATCCCCAAAAATCAATAAAAAAAATCCTGGAACTAAATAAGTGATCATATAAGGTTGCATGACAGAGGGATAAATAACAAGTGAAGCACAGGGGAATTTTAGGACAGTGAAATATTCTGAATAGTAATTTGTCAACACACATTTGCCAACACACACAGAACTGAATAACACAAGGAGTAAACCATAATATAAACTTTTATTGACAATAATATATCACCACTGGTTCATCAAATGTTATTGCAATAAAGATGTGAATGATAGGAGACATTGTATGTGGAGGAGATGGTAAACTGTGTATGATTACCCAGTGGAAAATGGATAATGTCTTTCATAAATTTTGTTGAGAAAACTGGATATTCATGTACAAAAGGCTGAAACTGAATCCTTACCTTACATTATACACAAAAGTCAACTCAAAATAAAAACATATCTAAGCTCTGAATCCATAAAACTCCTAGAAGAAAACATAGGGAACAAGGTGATGATCTAAATGCACCAATTAAAGGACAAAGACTTGTCAGAGTGGATCACAAAAAGAGCCAACTAGGGGCAGGCATTGAGCAGTTAAGATGGTGGTTAAGATGCCCAGGTCCCACATCAGAGTACCTGAGTTAAATTCTCAGCTCCAGCTGCCAGCTTCCTGCAAATGCAGACCCTAGGAGGCAGTAGTGATGGCACAAGTGAATGGACTCCTGCCACCCACGTGGAAGACCTGGACTGCATCCCTGGCTCCTTGGCTTTGGTCCTAGGCCAGCCTGATACAGGCATCTGGGGAATAAACAGTATATGGGAGCTCTCTGTCTCTTTCTTTTTGCCTTTGTGCCCCAAATAATTAAGGAAGTCAACTAAATGTTGTGTACAGGAAACCTAATTTTAACATAAAGACCTTTAGAGATTCAAGTAAATGGGAGGAGAAAGATATACTATGCTAAACTAATAAAAACAAAGTGGTTTCGGAGGCTAGACTCCAGAAAATCAGGAAAGAGAGAGAGGGGCCGGAGCTGTGGCATAAAGGGTAAAGTTTCGGGCTGCAGTGCTGGCATCTCATATGGGCACTGGTTCATGTCCCAGCTGCTCCACTTCCCATCCAGCTCTCTGCTATGGCCTGGGAAAGCAGTAGAAGATGGCCCAACTCTTTGGGCCCATGCACCCGTGTGGGAGACCTGGAGGAGGCTCCTGGCTCCTGGCTTTAGACTGATGCAGCTCCAGCCACTGCGGCCATCAGGGGAATGAACTCTCTCTCTCTCTCTTCCTCTGCCTCTCTGTAACTCTGCCTTTCAAATAAATAAACAATTCTTTTATAAAAAAAAAAAAAAGATAAAGAGAAGCATATCATAATGACATAACGGCTAATTCTCCGAAGAAGACTTAATAATCCTTAATCCTTTTCACCAAAATACATGAGATACAAATTGATAGAAATTCAAAGAGAAACAGATGATGACACTATTACGGCTGGAAACTTCAACTGTAAGAGAAGTCAGAAACGGGACAGATTCAATAGGCAGAACAATATATGCCCATAGTTGGACTCAACCACCCCATTAATTAACTGGCATATGATATGAGAGATGCTTCAAAAAGTTAATGGAAAATATGTGTTATATTTTAATCATCATCTCACAAACATTTTTAGGTATTCTCATGTTACAGACATCTATAGACAACCTCACACAATAACAGGAAGAATACACATTCTTCTCAAGCTTTTAGGGAACTCTCACCAAGATAAATCATATTCTGGGCCATAAAATACACCTTAAATTAAAAAGTACAGAAATCATGCAATGTTTGCTCTCAGATAACCATGAAATGAAACTAGTAATCAGTGACAGAAGAATAGAAAAAAATCTAAATACCATGAAAGTAAACAATACATTCTAAATAACAGAAATGAAATCTTAGGAGAAATATAAATATTCTGAACTATATGAAAATATAACTTATCAAACTGTGTTGGATACAATAAAAGCAGTACTTAGCAACTTATATGTCAAGTCAGTTAATGCTTATGTTAGAAGAGATCCTAAAAGTCAATAAACTTCTACCTTAGGACACACAGAAAAGCAAATTAAATCCAAAGTAAGTTAAAAAAAGTAAAAAAGAGTAGAAGTCAATGAAATAATACAGGAGATCAATACAGAGCAAAATCATGAAATCAAAAGCTAGTTATTTGGAAAGATCAATAAAATCAATAAACCTCTAGCCATGATATACTAAGAATAAAGGAAAGAACACAAATTACTGATCATCAGAAATGAGACAGCAGGCATCATCACAGATCCCATGGACAACAAAAAATAATTAAGGAAAACTATGCAACTCTGCAAGTATGTTCATAAAGTTTGATAACCTAGATAAATGGATAAATTCCACAAAATATACAATCTGCCAAAGTTCACACATGAAAAACAGGCAGTCTGAACAGAACTCTCTCTACTAAAGAAAATTAATCAATAATTAATAACCTCCCAAAACAGAAAGCACTAGGCCCAGATGGGTCTACTTGTGAATTCCAGCAAAGATGTAAGAAAGAAATTACATAAAATCACTACAATTTCTTTCAGAGAATACTTCCTAACTCATTCTGTAAGCCATGCAACATTCTAATAATAAAACTAGCAAAGATAATACAGAAGAAACTATAGACTTGGATCTGTTGTAACACTGATGCAAAAATTTCTCAACAAATGACTAGCCAATCAACACCAACCATTGTAAAATGAATTACACACTTTGGCCAAGTAGGATTTATTACAGCTATGCAAGGCTGGCACAAAATTTAAAATCAATTAATGTAACCCACCATAACAGGCTTAAGAAGAAAAATCATATGATACGATCAACAGATTCACAAAAACCATTTGACACATTCCAAAAACCATTAATAATAAATGCTCTCAGTAAAGCACAAATAGAAGACAATTTCCTCAACTCAACTTGATAAGGAATACAAAAAACCTACAGCTAACATCACACTTAATGGTAATAAACACTACTTGTAATTATCAACTTTTTTCATTTTTCAAATTTTATTTAATTTATACAAGTTTCATGTATTTCATATATATAGATTTAGGAACATAGTGACACTTCCCCCTCTACCCTCCCTCTCATCCCTCTCATCCACGCTCCAACACTTCCTCTTCCTCTCTCTCACATTACCACTCTTAACTTTTACATAGATCTATTTTCAGTTTATTTAATGATAGTATAGTTAACCCTACACTAAGTAAGAGTTCAACAAGTAGTATGAAGATAAAAACAACAAAACAAAACAAAACAAAAACACTGGTCCTCTACAGAAGAGAAAACTTGAAAGAAGTCAATGTTTCTTTCAGTAAGTGAATGAATAAACTGGGATATTCAGATAGAAATTATTACTCAGTGCTAATGAGAAATGAACTGCATGACAGGAAAGACATGAAGGAAACACAAATGTATATTACTAAGTGAAACAAAGTGGCTTGTTAAAATATGATGAATACATCAATTCATTCATATTTAA